TTTTGTTTTTGTGAACAGACTATGTGAAAACAAAATGACCCCTCAGATATTTTTCATAGTTAACCTCTCAGTTTCTGATTTTCTTATGGGTGTATATTTGATCATAATCGCCACGGTTGACACCCTCTACCGTGGGGAGTATTTTGTTCATGCCAAGGTCTGGACAGATAGTGTGTTATGCAAGACTGCGGGGTTCCTTACCATGCTTTCAACATTGATGTCTATGCTGATATTAGTTTTGATTACAACAGACAGAATGATAGCCATTGTGTTCTGTATGTCGTTTCGAAAGATTGGGATGAAAAGAGCGTCCGTTTTAGTGACAGTTGGGTGGGTCTTTTGCTTTATCGCAAGTATCATTCCTTGTTTCAAAAATGGATATTTTGAAAATTTTTATGGTCATAATTCTGTATGTTTACCCTTTACTATAAGCAGAGTATACTTTGGTGGTCGTGAGTACGCGTACGCCATGTTTTTATTTACCACTCTTTTCGCTTTTGTCTACGTGGCAGGGGCATATATATGCATAATAAAAAGCGTCTTTAAGACTCAGCAACAATCTGGACGTGAGGGTTTAGATGAAATTACTCTTCTGAAAAAAGTGTCCATTATTTTACTAACAGATTTTGTATGCTGGGGGCCGGTCGCATTGCTAGGGTTTCTAAGTATGGCCAACGTGCCAATAGCACCACAGGTGTCCAGCTGGGTAGCCGTGTTCGTGATGCCGTTCAACTCCGCTATCAACCCCTATTTGTACACGCTTGCCAACGTTAAGCTATGTGGTAAGAAAGAAGAATCATCGACACACTACACGCCTGTAGCCAGGCATAAAAAACAAGAACAAGTACCTGCAGACAAAGAAACCGAGATGTGACCATCTTTACTCCCGCGCTTTTTGTAGCTTGTTGTAGAGCATTACTGCAGATATTACGGATTTTGGTCGGGGGGAATGGACAGGTTTGGTGGATAAAGGGTAGAAACAACGTTTCGTATCCATTAAGACACATGATAGTTTGTTTGGTTTATGTTTAGAACTCAATATGGATAAGTGTGTCAATTGCAGAACAGCATGCCACATGGTCTATGCATTTAGGACTTATAAACTGTGTATAGTTTGTTTCAGGAAATATCTTTAAAATCACGCCTATAAAATACTTAATTAGATTTTTTAGAAAACATAATCTGCTATTTGGTTTTGTTAATGGAAACGTTGGCCAATTTTGTATTGCTTTTTCAATTTTGTCGTGGACCTGTATTTACAACACGGCAACATCTACATGTATCAGGTGGCAATGTGCATTACATGTTGTATGGAACTGTATGTAAAGTTCAATGTGCATTATATGTTGTATGGAACTGTATGTAAAGTTCAATGTGCATTATATGTTGTATGGGACTGTATGTAAAGTTCAATGTGCATTATATGTTGTATGGAACTGTAAAGTTCAATGTGCATTACATGTTGTATGGAAGTGTATGTAAAGTTCAGTGGCTTATTGCAAGCCTACATATATCATGGCAAGAGACTATATTTCTGATGAAATGAGACTACATATGAGTAAAACTGTATTGCCTATGAACATAATGTTGTTTTGGTGTTATACAGCGACCTCTATTGTAATAGTTGTGATGGTACCTGTAAGTTCACATTGATATAGTTGTAAAACATCTACTCTTGAATGAATTTTAAATGTCAATAAAACTTGAATGAACCAATGAACTGTTTTTTTTTTTTTCTCATTGATCAACAACAACAAAAGATAGATATATCCTTCAAGGCTTCAAATCATCCCTATTTCAGATTTTAAAATCTGCTACACCCCTCGAAACAAGTGTCTGGTGTCGATAGCTCTTTCTGAAATGTAAGGGCACGTTCCAAATGGATCTATCATTATACGTAGATCGATTCAACTCAACGAGAATTCTTGCTAAATGCAATCAGATAAACAATTTAAGACGCCCCCTCCTGGCGTTCAGTACAATATAGAGCACGTTGAAGACAAGGGGAGGGGTGTTAACAGAATACATCGTTTTAAACGACGGGTCAGCGATATGTGTGCATGGCGTTTTTTATCTAAGCATCTGTATTGTATTGCCTGTATTTTTTCATCAGTCAATTTATCAAAATAAATCTGCACCCCTCCGAAAAAAGTATGTATTATTTTGTACTAACACGATCAGTTTTTTATAAGAAAATCTTCAGTTTTGAAACTTAAAACTAATAATGATTTTTTATTATTATTATTGATTGATTATTGATCCGGATCACCACCAAAAAGTAATAATCTGTTCCTTGGTCCACTTCTGACAGTTCCTGTACATTTCATCAAAATCAGTCCATAACTTAGTTTTTTATTATTGAGTATTGATTGGATCACCACCAAAAACTATTCACCTCTAAGTTAACCCATTTCTGACCTACCCTGAAAATTCCATCGAAATTCATCCATAACTTTTTGAGTTATATTGATGACAAACAGACAGACAAACAAACAGGGGTAAAAACATAACCTCCTTGGCGGAGGTAAAAATGGCTGAAGCTCTTTTTTTTACTAATCGCTGTCTGTCCTCAGACAGTGTTTTCTCACTTTTCAAAAATTATAATCATTTTGTTGTTCCATTGCTTTTCTAGCCCCTGACGTCATTCCATAAATGGTTGACACACAAAAATAAAATCATTGCAACAACAAAGAAATCCACATAGTCTGTGGGGAAATACATGTATATGAGTCATGCACAGTGTCCATAAAATTACAAAATATAAAAATACATCAGTGGTCGAGGTGAATCAATCATCATGAAAAAAAAATGTTTTGATTGTTTAATATGAATTCTTCGCATTGCAGAAATAGTCATTTTTGGCTTATATCCACTTTTTATTGTTTATGGATTGTCCTCCCTGAAAAAAAATTGTTTTTTCACTTTGCATCCACTGTATCGTAAGAATTCTACTTCTGGGAAACGTTTAAAATTTCTATCTAACCCACCACTCATGCAGTAACAGGGACGTTTAAAGTCTCACCACGAAACCACCACAAGTATGGTAAAATATTGAGAAGGCGGCAAAACATTATTTTGGTTTGTTCTGAGGATTAATAGTTTTCAAGTCAACCCAGTTTAAATAGTAGGACAACAATTTTTTTTTAGACAAGAGAATCACTGCACTGTGAGAAAAAGGGACGTTTTCCATCAGGTAAAATACTGGTTCAAAACACACACACTTAATATAGAATTTGGAAATATTATTTCCTAAAAAAGAGGAAAAAAGAACGATTTAGGTAGGAGAATAAAAAGGTAAAGCAGGCTCGTTAATTTGTTTAGCATAGTTGCTTTAGAAATATATCTACGAATTCTTTCTGCCAGCTTCATTTTATTGTCTTATTTGCTTCTCTGTCTTTATTTTTGATCCCATTCTCGCCACATATCCCGCGAGATCCCACGTGGATTTACACAAAGACTTTGGGTAAAATGGGTTTATTCCAGTCGGTAGGCGAATTTCTGTAAAAACGATTGAGTCATTCAAACTGAAACTGCGATAAGGAGGTCCCTGCATTTACTCTCATATTGTGACAGTCATGATTCATGTACCATTGCGGCAGTTGTGCAAGATGATGTCGCTGTACCGATTTCGAGCGAAAGCAATACTCGGTTATCTTCCCCTCTATCTCTCACTCTATCTCTGTGTGTGTGTGTGTGTGTGTGTGTGTGTAAGTGCTTTTTTCTTCTTTTTTGTGTAAAGTCCATACCTATGCTTAGATCGATCTAACAAGATCGATCCAACTCCGAGGGCTTTCTAGCTAAATTGCTTTCAGCGTAAAGCACTGTCTCTTTCCTCTCTATCGGCTCATCCCTCTCACTCTCACCCTTTCCTCGTACCCCCCCCCCCCCGCCCGCTCTCTCATTCTCTCGCCTCAACCATACTCCCTCTCACTCGTTCTATCAACCCCTCTCTCTTTCTCTCGACATTTAGTTATCATATTTGAACGACCTGCTTCTGTGGCGGAAGTGAAGGGGGGGGGGTAGGCCTTGGAAGTACCTGCTTATACAACCTAATCTCTCCCTCCTCTAAAAAGTGTATTAGAGGCAAATCGCGTGCGGGAGAAAGCCAAACGATATGTTTTCATCCCTGTGTCTTACTACACAGTCAGAAAAGTATATGTTGACTCATTCTGTCAGCTTTAATTTTTTGGCCTCACTTGGATCTCTGTCTTTATTTCTGATTCTATTCAAGCCGCATACCCCGCGAGATCGCACGTGTTTTTTTTTTCTAAGACCTCTGGTCAAAATGGGCTTATTCCAGTTCCTGATTTTATAAGTTAGTTGTCGGTAGGCGACTTTCTTTAAGAAATGGGTCATTAATATTGAAAATTGAAACTGTGTTATTTGCATTACCTCGCAGATTGTGACAGTTATGGTCCATGTTCAATTGCAGCAGTTGCACATAATGGTGTCGCTATACCGATTTCAAGCGAAGGCAGTACTCGGTTATCTTTGCCTCTGTCTATCTCTTCCTCTCCCCCTTTTTCTGTCTTTCTCTCTCTCCTTCTGTGTGTGTGTTTATTTCTTTTTTTTATAAAGCCTCTTAGATGAGATAATCTGTCGAAATGTTTTTGCTCACAGTCTTATATATCTTCACGTCACTCTTCTCCCCAAATCGTGTATTACTGTAGAAGCAAAACGAAAGCCAAGCGATATATATTCATTCCTTTAAACCCCCGCACTACAGCCTCTACGTTAATAAATAAATAGATAGATAAATAAATAAATAAGTGGGCCTGCTTATATCACGTGCAAATAGACCACGTCGTATACCGAAATCTATCAACAGGTCACATTGCCGGGGGGTGAAATCCCAAATAATCGGGTCAAGACTTGCTTCGTTGTTAGCAGTCACAGTGTACAAATTATGCGATCTGAGATACTATTACTGCACTTGCCTTTGTCAATGGATACATTTAAGTAGAAATAAGAATGAAGAAGAGACGAAATTTATGGTGAATATTTTTCTCATTTACACTGTAAACAGTATCAAAGGCTTCACGGAAGCCGGGTGCTTTATATTTAGCTCATTGCTGTAGAATGCTTTCATTCATGCATACGCGATGACACGTTATTTCCCTGATAATGTCGAAACACAGATATGAGTTTCATATGAAAATAATTTTCATCGTTTAAATATTTGTAGGAAAAAGAATGTATGACGTAGAACCTACAGCTCTTTTTGTCTTTTTTGTAACATGTCCTTGGATAATTTTGTTTCCAGACGATATTCCGTAGGGTTTCAGCAGGCATGAAAAGGTTAACATAAATAAATAGTTAATATCATGAAACGGTATATTAGATGTCAATATGCTTCCTTCTTGTTCTTAGTCCGTTGAACCATTGTAAAAGACATGAATGATACAAGTGCTATCAAAACACCGCCAAATGCGATATAAATTTTAGCATCCATGCAGACAAAGTTGGAATAGGCAAAAACGACCGCCATTGCAGCATAGATGGCGCTGCGTATGGTGACGAAAACAGGCCATTTCTGATCTGGGAAGAAGTGTCCAACAACGGCTGAAAATAAAAATAATAAAGTTAAAAAAGTCAAAACAGAGAAGCAGGCATTATATGGGTTCGTTATTTTAAAACGACTGCTTTCTTTACATCATAGAACCTTAATTACGGAAACTTTACTGAGTTGCTCAATATTACAGAGAGAGTCCCAAAAAATTACTTGTCCGACCCAACATACAACTAAAGATAGCTCAATGTCACTTTCCATATAAACTACTATAACAGTGCTATACATCTTACTCAAGACTGCACGCCCCAGCATCTGTAAGATTCCTTTGGTGTCCCATAGGACGTCTTGTAGGAAAATTTACCTTCAGGGAATATGACGTCATATTAAAAGACTCACACGTGACTCAATTACGGAATCACAGCACCAAGCGTAACATGGCGGCCTTACCCTTACCTGAAGATTGCGTTAGCCACACGGAATCGGCCAGCCCCCAGACAAAGGGCACCAGAAAGTAAAACAGCATGGTTTTGGAGGAAGAATCCAGCAATAACATGCTGGCTAAGCAGGAGGCGTTGGCGGCCGTGGCGAAGACGTACATTATCGGCCAACCAGTGAATTTCAGCAATCGTCCTGTCACCGTGGATCCAATGATTTGTCCACTGGCGTAACAGATCATGGACCAGCCATTGTACTGGATGCCGATCTCACAGCTTACAAACGCCTGGAATAAGTAACCAAAGTAACCATCTGCATTGTTACTTAGATATGTAATGGAATTAAAATTGTGCACCTGGATATGGTCAACATATGTTTGTCTCTCACTCCTTGGTGAAGGCCTTATGGTAGTGAAAAGTGTGAGAAGTAATAGCTATCAGGTTACATTTTACGAACACGTACTAGTAAGGTAGTAAACGAAACTACCAGTGTAATTTGAATTGCATTATAATGAAATTCTTTTCTGGATCAAGGATTTTTCACAAATAACTTTCGAACAGCAACTTGAATTTAGTCGTATTCTACAGTATATACTGCTACGATAAACAACATTTGTTAAGGTTTATTTAATCCACATGACAGAGTGATAATTTAACTACTAGCACCCGTTAAATGCTTACTCTTTGAAGAACTGACTTTGTGTTGCACACACGAATTCAGAAATGAATGAATATTCATCTTAATTCATCTCTACCTTGGTGAACTCTGTTTGAATGAGCTCCTGTTCAACAGAAATATATGCCACGACAGGGATCATAAGAAGCATACGTCCACTCCACAGCAACTTTATCATGGCCGAACAAAAATCACCAGCTCCATTTAAAGCGTCCCCTTTGTTGGCATGGATATTCCGAAGGAGCAAAAGGCACCCCGTAAAGGCAACCAAAATAAACCCAAGAAACGCTCCAAGTATTATATACACTAAAATCTGATCCGGTTGCTCTATGTATGTCCCGGAGGTATCTTCCCACGGGCAAAAAGCAGGCCCACACAAATCGCTTAGATTCCCTATCTGCGGGACTACTGTCGATCCGTTTACTGTTTTGTCTACAGGTTTTATTAGAACTAATGATGACACCAAATTGCTCCAGACTCCACACGTGGTAAAAATGCTAAAGAAAACGCCTTGGAAGACACCCATAACGGAGTCCTGAGGCTGACCCGTGATCTCCGAATATTCCAAGCCTAAAGTTGTGACGTACACCCCGTTGCTGATCCACATCTGTGCATGCGCTGAAATAGATTATTAAGTTATAATTTAAGGGTAAAAAAAAAAAAAAAACAAAAAACTTTAACACAGGAGGCAGTGCCTCGCGCAAAAGCGTGTTAGGCGTACATGTACTGGTTGCTGCAAAGTGCCCCAAATTCTTTAGTTTTATCAAACAGGTCTCTCTTGTGGGGGAGGTGGGGGTGACGTGATATCTCACATCCACCTATGTCACGTGTATTAACCAGACGTTCTCTCGATTGCCGATAACGAAGAGAAGGGGTCTTTTATATCATTTGCACTGCGAGTGTATAAAGTGGAACGATCTATCGATACAGTGACACTGCTATATCGGTTGAGTGCTAATGTACTATACGGAGCAGTCATTGTTCTTCGCCAGTTACTATTTAACTAGGAGAGCCACATTATACCTGTGACATGTACGCCATCAAAGGACATGCTGACCCATAATAGAAGTGCTGAAGACTGGGGGGGGGGGGGGTTAGTTGGGTACAGTAGGTCTTTGGTGCCAGGGTAATAGCGATACAATTTAGTCTCTTCATCCCAACAAGGCTGGGGACCGTATTTTGCCTGCCATATTTTATCAAATACACACGCATACACAAAACCCACATTAACAATTAAAATGCAATCAGATATGTCTGTCTCTATGTAAAACTCATGGGTAGGGGTAACAGAAATTTAAATATAAGCAATTATACTATCCCGTTCTTGACAAGTGACATTTTACGCAATTTAACGTTTGACGTCTTATGTTCATCTATACTTACTTATGCCTACGAGGAAAGACACGGGCAGCAACAAATACACCTCCACATAGAAATGGACGGCAATGAACAAACCCTGGCCAAACAACCCCAACAAGACCGATCCCTTGGCGCCAAAAATCCGTGCCAAGATCGGAGCAGTGAAAAACGAAACCAGCGCCCCTCCATAATGCACCAACAGCGCGTATAATCCTATATCGGGATTAAGTATCCCTTCTAAGTTCATTAAAGCTGTAAGTGGTGAGTATCCTAGCATATAAACAGCAGATAACACCAGAAGCTGTCGAACGGGACCCCATCTGCTGCGACGAGGCTTGGCGCTGTTGGAGCCAAGGAGCAGTCGTTTCTCCTCGGGGATTCTTTCGGGAACGGGCCCGGAGCGGCTGAGCTCCATGTTGTTTGTCTTGTTGGCTTAGTGCAGCGTAGATGTCAAAATGACCATGTCGTGCACGTGTATCTACTTGAACAGATAGCAGAACGTTATGTAACTAGGACAGGGCAGAAGAAATGGCGATAACGTTGTTAGCCCTGTGCATGAACGACCTGGCTTAAACCCGCTGGGTATTAATATCAACAACTCGGAGTGATCGAGTGTTTTTGGATACTATCGGGTTTTAAACGCGCGATTTCGTACATGTATAAGCATACATAATGCGATGTAAATCGATCCTGTTGTTTCTGAAAAAGAACACAAAAAATGATTTGCGAAAAATAAGTAATACAGGGCCGTAGCCAGCAATTTCCAAACGGGCCGCCCGGGGGGGGGGGGGGGGGGTCTTTTTCTGAAAATTGGACCTTTTCCCATAAAAATGTAATGTACTAGATCAAATTTTACATGGAGTGGACTTTTTCCCAGCAAAAGGGGTGGTTCTTGCGACCTTCCCCCCCGAACCCCCCTGGCTACGGGCCTGTAATATGTTCTAGTTTCAGCACTGCGCAGTGGTTCGTTTTATGCGGCATACCAGCTAGTAATCATATCAAAGCGCATTCGATATACCGGTATATGACGGTCTCTTTTGTAGCAAAAGATGAGGGGCGAGTAGTTGTAACAGATATCCCACGATATCCCGGCAACAGAATGTTTTTGCTTGAAATGTAGTGAGCGTATTAAGAAGGGTCCATTCCGAGCCAACTACGTTTGGAATCGCGTTGAATGAAACGCTCTTCTCTTGTTTCCAACGGACTCGTATAACCACCAGCGTTTTTGTATTATACTTAACGCCGCTAGGCGGCGTGTTAATGCAATGTGAGTTCAAACTTCCTTTGGAACATTAGAAGTTCTGTAGCCTTGTGTACTGGTAAGACTATAATTGCTAGTAGCGTCATTTGTGTTGTGTGCCGCATTGTGAAAATAACACAGACATGATCTTGTCATGTCGAGACTTTATGTCAAACACACACACACACAAAAAAAAAAAAAAAACATAATAATGATAATAACAACACTTTATTTAAGTTATAAAAATATTATACGCATACAGGAAAGTCCTACATATGTAAATGTGATACTGTGTTGAGGCGATATTCTTTTCATTACTGAAGTGCAATTCACATGCAAAAAAGTCACTCCGCAATGAACAGAGAAAGACTCCGAGAGAGAAGTGGGCGTGTTTATTTCATACTCACATTTGGTCAAATCACCCTTCATTCTTATCAAAAACTGTACGTAATCACCCTTCATTCTTATCAAAAACTGTACGTAATATACGATATACAAAGTGCAGTAGGTCATCTTAAACTACAGCAATGCTCGTAAATATAGACACGATAGTCGATAGTCGAAGGTACAGCAATGCTGAAATAGTTAAGTAAGTATGCATGTACCTTTGTGTTACGGTATCTCCTGCGATTAAACCGTTTACACAGAGAAATAACTTCAGTTTATATCTAGACTGGGGTATCCGGAGGCAATAAAACAACAGGCAATTTAGGAGCAACACTCATCTATTGTAAAAGAATGAGCTTAGGACTTCACACGGAAAACCATTTTTGATCGACAATCTTCATCTTCTTTGTCCAAGTTATTTGTCTGTGAAAAGTATTGCACAACAAGCTTTGACAGTTGATCTGCGATGAAAAATGAAAACGGACATCTCCCTTACGACGCCTCTGAAAGGAAACTTTTGTTGTCCCAGGACCAACCCAAAGAGAAGCACACGAAATGGTTTCCTCTCTCCCAAAACGTCATTATTGCTGTCGCCATGATGCTTGGGTTCTCCCCGCTCTCTTCATTGCTGAATCTGGAAGCCATACTTAACCCAGAAATCGGTTTGTTTGCGCTGATGGGTAATTTTGGCGGGGCGGTTCTCTCCTCCTTGACGTCGCCGATTTTAACGCGTCTGGTTGGCGCTAAAGGATCGCTGCTTTTGGGATTCTTTGGCCAGGGATTATTCATCGCTGCACACTTCTATGTGATTCCCTATGTTTTAATACCAATATCATTTATTGTGGGAATACGTAAGTGTACAGCTAGTAAATAAGTTCATATTTACAAAAAGTCTATCCACTGGTCATGAAAACAAATACTTTCAACTTAAGATCACAGTGTAGTAATTAAATGTAAAAGTATTAATACCAATATTTTTAGGCAAATGAATAGGTGAATTAACAGGTTAAGATATTCTTTGTTTGGGAATTAGTTTAATTGATTTTGGATTGGACTGGTTGCTTAAGTTTAATAACAATTTAATTTTCTAAAAATTTGTTCAAGACCTTTTGAGTGATATATCCATTGCTGCAGTAAGGCCACTTCACAACCAAAGTTAATTCGCAGACTTACAGATCCTCGAACCAAATATGGCCGATCTGTAAGTCCACGAATCAACTGGTTGTGGATGGACATCAAGTTTCAGGATTTGTGATTGTTCTCTTTTCATCGTAAAATAACCTTTAAAATAATTGTTATTCATTCCAGTCCACGCACAGACTTTCATCACTCACGGTGTCTACGTCACTACATTGGCTTACCAATATGCTGACTTCACTGGGCAGGCCCCGGAGTCGGTTATGGGCATGTTCAACGGGTTAGGTAATACTGGAAATTGGTATTGGAATAATAATGAAAACATTAACACTGGACATGTTTATCGGGATAAAGCAATGATATATTTAGATTATCCTTCTTGGAACATTTTATCTCGTTACCCATACTCATTTCACTCACAGGCCTAACATTAGACTCTTTCTGCTGAAATGCATTACTATAAAGTTAATGTATACTTTATTGTGTATTCCCAAAGGTTTTTCCATCTTCGTCACCAACTCTATCTGGGGCAACCTGATCTCCTCGCTCGTTTTAAGCACTCCGGAGCCAAACGGGAACGAAACGAAAGCCTACGGTAACCTGAGCGAGTTGTGCGGAGCGTCTTTCTGCCCCTGGGAGGACACCTCTGGTACCCACATCACAAAACCAGAACAATACATAGTATATATCCTACTAGGCTGCTTCCTTGGTCTCGTTACTTTGGCGTTCGGTATAACCCTCATATTTGTGCAAAATATCAAAACAACATCGAAAGATTCAGCTCACGGATCCAAAGACTTCTGCAACGCCATTCTCCGTTTGCTATGGAACCGGAAGATGTTACTACTACTTCCGGTGTTTGGTATGATAGCAGTTGAACAGGAGCTTTTACTGACTGAATATACAAAGGTATTTTTGCTTGCACTAGAAACCCCCGCACTTCTGAGGAGCCCTTGACTGTTTATTTATTTTCTTTTTCTTTTTTTTTTCTTTTTGAAATGTCCCCTTTGCCTTTCAGATGTAACAGTTGACTATGCATATTTATTTTTAACACCTCACATTTTTCAATATAAAATGCCAATTTTGAAAATTAAAAAAAAAAAAAAAAACATTGATACAATGTAAACAGTGTCAAATTGTTTAATTTCAAATGTTGTACTTTGTTGTTATATAAAACTAAACCTCTTATGCGGATTGAACTAATTTTCTACGTTAACACATTTCCCTAGAAACATTTTTCCATTATAGTGCTTTATTAAATTGCCTTTTTAAAGTTAATTGTTTGTCTTTTTCATTATGATCATTATTTTACAGGCTTTCGTCAGCTGTGAACTTGGGATTAACTTCAATGGATGGAGTACCATCTGCTTCTCGTTAGGCCAGTGTCTAGGTAACCTAGTGATTGGTCGGTTGGTCAAGTACACGGGGTGGCCATTCATGTACGTCTTCGCTGTATGCACTAACAGCGCATGTCTGATCAGTATGGTGACCTTTGACCCGGATGTCATGTGGGACGGGTATCATTTCTTGTTGCCAGGAGCCTGGGGATTGGCTGATGCTGTCTGGATGACGCAATCGGCAGGTTCGTAAACACGCTTTCTTTTAAAGGACTAGTTTCACAGAATGCCAGATTTTTAAGATTAAGCTAATACCGGAGACAGCTAAACAGGATAGCCCATTACTTGAAGGCGACTTTCCTTGCGGTACTGGTTTCAGAGCACTTTACGAAAGATCGACCTACAATAAATTTAGCTGACATCCTTGAACACATTTGAGAGTAATAACCAATCTCTAAACAACCACAGTAGTATCCCGCGGTTCTGGTAAATTTGCAAGAAAAAATTAAAAAGGGAATTTAGAACTTTATATGAAACCCTGTAAACAGCAGTGCAATCACTTCTAAAACCGTCGTTCAACTTTTGTGAAACCTCCAGAACTTCCAGACATACAACAAGTTTAAATTAAGCCAGACTTTTTAAATGACTTATTTAATCTGCAAATTGTACACAAATAAAACTAAATATAAATATTTTAGTGACATTTGTATAACGTCTTTTCACATACTTGTACTCCAATGTATTTTTTCTTGCAGCTTACATAGGTCATATGTTTCCTGATGAGAAATGGCCCGCCTTCGTGACAGTACGCATAGGCCTATACGGTACATACGGCGTGCTGTACGCAATCTCCCACTTGATGTGCATGGATACCAAGATTTACATCACCTTCGGTTTCTTAGGACTGTCACTGACTACATTCATGACATTTGACCTCCTACATCGGCATGAGAAATCAATGAAGATTCACACTGAGTATTCTGAAAAATGAGTCATATTTTTTGTATTAAAAAGTAAAGACCCAAAAAACAACGTGACTTAAGCAAATAAATACATGAATGGATAAATAAGATAAAAAGGTATATCGGAAGCTTTAATACAATTGAACACATTTAGTGTTAATCATCAATACTATCCGTGATGTAAATTTGAACTACAAGTAAATGCTGAATTGCATATCGCTGGACAGATAAATTATTATTATAGAATCTACTCTAGGACAGAGGAAATAGTGGTATATTAAACTCTCCCATGCTGACGTGTAGACTTCGGCATTCTCTTCAACAGAACAGAAACAATTCAGAAAAAGGGATGCAATAAACATATATATATAAAAACAACATGTTATTCTATTTATTAATGTACTGCACAAGAAAATATTCTATCACGCATAAATGGACTGTGAAGCGCTCAATGTATCCCTTAAAACGTATTGGCAGTAAGCAGGTTATATGAACCGTTAATGATTAACTGATCTCATTTAGTCAACACCAAAACTTATCAGCGACGTACATCAGATGTAATATGGCGTGATGTCGACTGACTGTGTCTTCAACTGGTGACCCTAAAGTTCACGGAGACCTTGCACGGCTCACATTCAGATCAGACAAAACAAGGAGGCGTTATCGCCACGTGATGTTCCACAGCACCGACATACACTACCTCTTTAAGGCACATGATTAACACTGGAACTATACACAGTGGACATATTGTTCTTGAGATTTCAACATTTACCTGCAAGATGAGCCATATTTATCTAAACACATTTTTAAAAATCACAATCCATAAACCGTTTTTATTCCTTATTTTCTTATTTTGAGGGACTCCCGCAAAGTTTTTTCTGATGGATGTCATTTGAGACGGTAAACATAGTCATCTAAATTTAGTTTTATAGAGTGCCATTTTATAAACAGATATGCATAGCTAATAGAGAAAGAATCGCAGAAATTTTGAGATCATTTTTATTATTATTATTATTATTATTATCTTTTTTGGTTTGCTACATTGGGGTCTTTAAACACTGCTGCTCTTGGATCCAAAGATAAGTCGGAGGGGAAAGTTCCCACCATATGGGTCATGCTCTTTCAACGTCTATGACTGAGTTCTCTTACCTAGATCGGTCAAGCAGGATCGATCCATCTACAAGGGATTTCTCGCTAAATTGATGTCAGCTTAAGCGGCTTAGAAGTCTGGCAAGCCTATTGAGGCTTTAAACGATAATTAATTACCCCTAGCAGCTTTAATAGGCATGACAGACATTTTCCCCAATGAATTTGATTGCAGTTTAGCGAGCATCTCCTTGGAGATAGATCGATCCACAGTTAGTACGAAGGGGCCTCGGAATGGTCCTTATACTCAAGGCCATGTCTAAATGGATCTTCTCATGTTGTTAACAGATTACTTAAACATCCAATGCGCCACAACGGTTTACGCAATGCAGATATATTTATTTCGGGCATGTAGGGCACATGAGTCTTTGTTCAAGATAGAGACAGCGTCTTTTATTATCAGTTATATATGCAACAACATTAACAGGGACGGCTATAGCTTGGGAAGGTAGCTCCATACAACACTGTTCAACCTAATACGCTTCCATTTAAATCAACCCTTGGTTTGTGACTATAGGACTATGGGGAAGCTCGGAAATGCTCTAGCCTCGACTGAAAACTCCGAAAAGTCACTGCTACTCGCTTCTAACGAGAAGAAGTCCTAAAAATGGGGACCCGTCTCTCAGTTGATAATACTCGCCGTGGTTTTCATGCTCTCGAACGCTCCAATGGCCTCAATACTTAACTTAGAAGGGATCTTGAATCCGGAGATCGGTCTATACGGTTTAATGTGCAATTTCAGTGGCTGCATGTTGTCTTTAGTGACATCTCCAATTATTTCACGTTATGCCGGGGCCAAAAGATCAGTGATGCTGGGATCAATGAGCCAGATAGTATTCATTGCGGCCCATTTCTACGTTCAGCCTTACATATTGTTACCCGTGGCGTTTCTATGCGGTATATGTAAGTATAACTGTTTCTGAAGCTTGGACTAGTATGATAGTGGTTTATCTATGTAGTAAGCTCGCAAGGAGGACTCACAAAAGAACTCCAGAGCAAAATGATAGTTTGAAAGTGGAATTTATTTAAATATAAATCTACTCGTGTTCTCTGAATGGCAACATTGGCAGTGCACCTGTTTAATCAAAAGAAATAGGAAATCGATATTAATTAGATGAAAATTATTTTATTGATTTTCCCAGAACTGAAATAAATCAATATATTTTATCTGAAAAACAAGATCAACTGTTATTTGCGAGTTATTATTTTGAACCTTCCCGTTGTATTAAGACCCGTCGGTGTCTTATAAGATTTCGACTGTGGACCTGTACATTTGACACGTACGGGATGGTTCAAAGACTACAGGGGTAATTTGTATCTTAAACAGTGGGTATTGTTAAAAACTTTCGTTCAAAATTGTAGCCAAATTTGTATAGATACATAAATAAATAAACTGAAAATGATAACTGACACTGTACGGAACAATTGTGCAGATAGTAGGTCAATTTATCTTTATATTTTTGGCTATATTGTTGTTTATCAGTTTCTTGTCTTTTAATGATTATGCGTTGGCATTGGTTTATTTTTCTTTATTGTGACGGCATGTATCATATTGTGCCATATTTACCGTAAATTTATGCATATTAAATCTGTATATTTTGAAACAAATTCTAAGTTTATTGTTTGGACTATTTTCAGTTTTTGCCAATGGTATGATAACCAGTAACGTTTACATCACGGCACTGGCAGTTGACTACGCCAAAATCACAAAGGAACCGCTTCACCACGTAATGGGGTTCTTCAACGGACTGTTTTCAACGATATTCACAACCAACTTTATATGGGCTAACCTCATTTCATCTCTGGTCCTCACAACCGAGGAAATGGATAATAAGACGGAGTCATCAGAGTTTGGGAACTTGAGCGAGTTGTGTGGGCCATCTTTTTGTCCTTGGGAGGACGTCACTGGTACACATATTAGAGAACCTGAACAATATATTGTGTATATCCTATTGGGGTCGTACATCGGACTCATCAGCATAGCCTTTTGTCTCACCCTTTTATTGCTTAAGAATATTCACCCCACGTCCGGAGACGCGCTTCATGGCGCCAAAGATTTTTGCAACAGTGTTCTGAATCTACTGTGGAAGAGGAAGCTTGCGTTGATAGTTCCTTTGTTGGTTACGGTTGGTGTGGAGCAAGAGTTTATTGCCACAGAGTTTACCAAGGTGCTACTCAGGATTTGAAAGTCTTAGATTTCAACATTTAAAGGCGGTTTAATGTAAGCTAAATAAAGTAGAGTAGTGTGTTAAATTTTATTGAGTGCAACGATTTAACGCTTTGGTTCTGTGACAAAATTCATGCAGTGTACATCTTAGTAAAAAAAGTCCTTCAAGTCATGATAAATTGGCAACTCTTACCAATTCATACATAGTAATGTCCTCCAATATTTTCAGGCATTTGTGAGCTGTGTAATAGGTGTCAATTACAACGGGTGGTCCATGATATGCTACTCGGCCGGAAGAAGCATAGGAAACGCTGTGATTGGTCGCCTCATCAAGTTCACCGGTTGGCCAGCCATGTACGTGTTTGCCACTTGCATCAACTGCGCATGCCTGGCCAGTATGTTGGCTCTTGATCCAGCGGATATTATTATTGAGTATCATTTCTTTGTCCCTGCGGCCTGGGGTGTAGCGGACGCCGTGTGGCTGACCCAAACGATGGGTATGTATCTGTCTTAATGGTAGGCATGGTAAAAATGTTAAATGCAAGATTGTTCAATTGGTGATCCTTTTCTATGTCATTCCACATAGTGAAAAGTAATAAATTGCCATAACAGTTTTCGGCGTGCTTGTTACAATTCTTTCACGCAGGCTACTTTACTATTCTTTTCCGCTTTTATTTGGTTAATAGCATAATTACATGTATGTTGCCCAATTTTTTCCAACGTTTGTTGGTATTTAAATTTAATTTTTTTCAGCTTTCATAGGGCACACGTTTCCAGACGAAAAATGGCCAGCATTTGCCACAGCAAGAACCAGCAACTACGTTTCATCGACTGTGATTTACGCCCTTTCTAATAGCCTTTGTTTGGACGCTAAAATATACCTTGTATTTGGTTCTGTTGGACTGTCTTTGTGTTCATTTATGACTTTTATTTTAATTCCGAAAATAAAAAGGACTTAGAATATATTGTTTCCTTATTGTTTTAGCAATTTTAGCGATTTGGATAGAGACACGTTGGATAGAGGCATTTGACAATAATTGCTCATTAAACCCATTTCTTAGGAAATAAATGTCAGCGTATCAGGCAGAAAAATTTAAGGGTGTTTTAAGTAACATTTTAACACCTAATATTATCAAAGGAAAGTCCACTTAAATTGATTAAATCAGTTTTTAAATCAATAAAATCATCGATGCTTCTCTTTTTGACGTAGATGCACGCTTCGTTTTGATGTATTATTATTCATAATGTTCGTATATACTACATTCAATATTTACTATTATTTCAAACAAAATGCCATCAAGTTCAAGCGCCAAGCGTACAAATCCTTGAATACCATATAGGCAACTATAGGCTTGTTTACCATTGAAATCTTATCTGGCCAACTTGCTATTGGATCAACGGTATATTGCCATCTGTGTGTACGGTTAACAATGCTAACCTTCTTTACATTGCAGATTACACAACTAGTGGTTGACCCTCTCAATGTAAGACATTTCATCTAATATCTACCAAGGCCTACCACTGTACCTTTCAAAATTGCTCTCGCCGTAGAGGCAATTCTGTCTTGCGAAGTAACGGCAAAAGAAGAAGAATCAACAGATGCATCATCTGGAGAGAGCCACACTACGAAGGCATTATTGTCGGATGGTTTCTCTGGCAATTCCTTGTCAATTCCTTGTCGATTTTTCATAAAGTGCTCTGAAGCCAGTACCGCAAGCAAAGTTAGAGGCACATCCCTTGATGCTGGGCTCCCAATCGGGCGCCAGGCAGCCCAGTCGAACCCCGGTGGTTCAGCTGTTATTCTTATCTATGACATACATGCTTGGGTTTTCTCCCTTCACAGCTTTGTTGAATTTAGAAAGGATTCTGAATCCTGAGATCGGATATTATGCCTTGATGGGTAATTACGGAGGCGCCGTGTTTTCTTTTGTGACAGCCCCTGTCATTGGACGGTTATTGGGTGCCAAAGGATCAATCTTACTCGGTTGGATTGGCCAGTTGGTCTTCATAGTTGTACACTTTTATGTGAAAGCTTATATTATCATTCCAGTTGCATTTTGTGTAGGCATATGTGAGTATTTACAGCATTCCTTGTCCAGAGTTCAACTCATTCCGTGCTCGTTAAGTCATAAACATACATATCCAAAAATTAATTTTCCTTGAAATGCCCCGCTTGAATTTTAATTATGAAGACATGTTTAAAATGTAAACGAAGGTATTTACTAACTGATAGCAAAAACTGTGTTTTATTTATTTACTTTTTTAATTATTCATTTTTTAGAAATGGAATGGAATTTATAAGAGCTTGAAACCTTGATTTCAGTGCATGCGCAGACAATGATCACCAGTAGTGTTTTCGTGACCACGTTCGCCCTACAGTATTCAGAAATCACTAAAAAATCGCAAAACACAGTCATGGGCATGTTTAACGGAGTATTCTTTGCCATGTTTGCGTTTGACTCCGTTTGGAGCAACCTCGTTTCATCGCTGATCACTAAAAAATCGCAAAACACAGTCATGGGCATGTTTAACGGAGTATTCTTTGCCATGTTTGCGTTTGACTCCGTTTGGAGCAACCTCATTTCATCGCTGATTCTAAGCAAACCCGTAGAGAACTATTTCAACGGAACAGGGCTTCCAAACCCACTGAATTTAAGCCAGCTATGTGGACCAGCTTTCTGTCCGTGGGAGGATACATCCGGGACCTACATCCGGCAACCTGAACAGTACATAGTGTACATTCTCCTGGGGTGTTTTCTAGCAATGTCCGGAACGGCTTTTCTCATAACTTTGTTCTTTATCAAGATGTTCACCCATCCAGCGGAGACGCCATGCAATTGAACAAGAGTTTATCGTCACTGAGTTCACAAAGGTAGGACTTGGTATATATTTTTTCAACAAAAAACACAGATAGCAGGGGGGTAAAGTACTGGGCATTTAATTAAGTTTAATTACGTTATCGTGGGAGGGAAGGGGCGGCGGGGTAGTCTAAGAAAAAATGGTTTAACCCGGGACTAATTGCAAAAAAATTGTAGTATGTTTATTTTTTATTTTTTTATTTTTTTTTATTTTATTTTTTTTTTATTTTTTTTTTTTTTTTGAGTTTTTGAGTGGTCCATGTGATCATATTAAAAATCTAGAAAAATCCAAGAAGTGGAACAGGTATTTTTTGGGGAAAATCAAAAACGGCCGCCAGCACAGAGATCTACAACATTGGTCAACAGGGTTGTCCCACCCCCATTCCCATGTACTTTTATTTACAAATGATCACCTCACAGCTGTAAATTGTTAGAAATAGTGCCTTTTATTACAGATACCGTGTCTAACATGATTAGTAGTTTAAAAAAAATACAAAATAGTGGTGAAAATATACACATTTTATACCATTTAGTAAACTTTATAAGAGGTACCCCCTCAAATCCACTGTTTCACTGTGACTTCTTCAGATGTAAAGAAATGTCATAAAATTGAAAAGACGCCATCAAATGTCACCAAATTCACAGAGAATAAAAAAATAGCTCAAAAGTACATATATGGTCTTTTACCACTTTTTTTGTTGTAGTACTAGATTGGTCAGGAAATTAACACTTCAAATGATCTAAAAGGTGCTCTTTATCCAATTCATGCACCAAAATAAACTTGCCTGAGGTAAACGCCGTTATTTTCTATTTAAAATGTATTGCCATCCTGTCCCTACATTTTTTAATTCAATGACTTATTCCATTTGAATCTTATAGTTATAAATAACTGACCAGTCAATCAGTACCTAACTGCCTTCACCATGGATAACCTAGGTTTCACTTCAAACACAAGAAAATGACCTTGGGAGCAATTATGGCTTCGGGACAAGGCCCAGAAGATTATGACCATATGATATGCGCTTCTGATATATATATTTTTATTTAAATGAAATATGGAGGTCTGCATCACCTGGCACTTGGATCACTTCAACTCCAGCACCACTTTACGAAAAATCGACCTACAGTAAATTCAGCTGACATTCTTGAACACCTCTGAGAGTAATCAACAATGTCTTAACAACAATAGTATTATCCCGCGGTTCAGGTAAATTTGCAAAGAAAAAACAAAAAAAGGGAATTTAGAGCTTTACGTGAAACCCTGTAAACAGCAGTGCAATCCCTTCCAAATCCGTTGTTCGACTTTTGTGAAATCTCCAGAAATTCCAGAGACGACATACAACATGTATAAATTAAGTCAGACTTATTAAATGACTTATTTAATCTGCAAATTGTACACAAATAAAACTAAATATAAATATTTTAGTGACATTTGTATAACGTCTTTTCACATATTTGAACTCCAATGTATTTTTCCTTGCAGCTTACATAGGTCACATGTTTCCTGATGAGAAATGGCCCACCTTTGTGACAGTACGCATAATACGGTACATACGGCGTGCTGTCCGCAATCTCCCACTTGAGGTGCATGGATACCAATTTACGTTTCTTAGGACTGTCTTAGGACTGTCACTGAGTACATTCATGACATTTGAATGCATCGGCATGAGAAATCTATGAAGATTCACACTGAGTATTCTGAAAAATGAGTCATATTTGTTTGTAATAAAAAGCAAAGACCTAAAAAAACAACGTGACTTAAGCAAATAAATAAATAAGTAGATAAGATAAAAAGGTATATCGGAAGCTTTAATACAATTGAACACATTTAGTGTTAATCATCCCTACTATCCGTGATATAAATTTGAACTACAAGTAAATGTTGAATTGTATATCGCTGGACAGATAAATTATTATTATTATAGAATCTACTCTAGGACAGAGGAAATAGTGGTATATTAAACTCTCCAATGCTGACGTGTAGACTTCGGCATTCTGATCAACAGAACAGAAACAATTCAACAATTCAGAATAAGGGATGCAATAAATATATATATATATATATATATATATATATATATATATATATATATATAACAACATGCTATTCTATTTGTTAATGTACTGCACAAGAAAATGTTCTGTCACGCATAAATGGCATGTGAAGCGCTCAATGTATCCCTTAAAACGTATTGGCAGTAAACAGGTTACATGAACCGTTAATGAGTAACTGATCTCATTAAGTCAACACCAAAACTTATCAAATCGAGCGATATCAGATGTAATATGGCGTGATGTTGACTGACTGTGTCTTCAACTGGTGACCCTAAAGTTCACGGAGACCTTGCACGGCTCACATTCAGATCAGACAAAACAAGGAGGCGTTATCGCCACGTGATGTTCCACAGCACCGACATACACTAGCTCTATAAGGCACATGATTAACACTGGAACTATACACAGTGGACATATTGTTCTTGAGATTTCAACATTTACCTGCAAGATGAGCCATGTATATCTAAACACATTTTTACAAATCACAATCCATAAACCGCTTTTATTCCTTATTTTCTTATTTTGAGGGACTCCCGCAAAGTTTTTCTGATGGATGTCATTTGAGACGGTAAACATAGACATCGAAATTTAGTTTTATAGACTGCGATTTTATAAAAGGATATGTATAGATAATAGAGAATCGCAGAAATTTTGAGATTATTATTATTTTTATTATTATTATTATTATTATTATTATTACAGTATTATCTATTTTGGTTTGCTACATTGGGGTCTTTAAACACTGCTGCTCTTGGATCCAAAGTTAAGTCGGCGGTGAAATTTCCCACCATCTGGGTCATTCTCTTTCAACATCTTTGACTGGGTTCTCTTACCTAGATCGGTCTAACAGGATCGATCCATCTCCAAGTAGTTTCTCGCTAAATTGATATCAGCTTAATCGGCTTAGATGTCTGGCAAGCCTACTGAAGCTTTAAACGATAATTAATTACCCCTTAGCAGCTTTAATAGGCGTGACAGACGTTTTACCCGCTGTATTTGATTGCAGTCTAGCAAGCATCTTCTTGGAGATAGATCGATCCACAGTTAGTACGAAGGGGTCTTGGAATGGACCTTCTCATGTTGTTAACATGACTTAAACATTCAATGCGCCACAACAGTTTACGCAATGCAGATACATTTATTTCGGGCACCTAGGGGACATGAATCCTTCTCAAGATGATACAGCGTTTTTTATTATCAGTTAAATATGCAGCATCATTAACAGGGACAGCCATAGCTGGGGAAGGTAGCTCTATACAACACTGTTCTAACTAATACGCTTCCATTTTAATCAACCCTTGGTTTGTGACTAGGACTTGATCATGGAGAAGCTCGGAAATGATCTAGCCTCGACTGAAAACTCCGAAAAGTCACTGCTACTCGCTTCTAACGAGAAGAAGTCCTCTAAATGGGGACCCGTCTCTCAGTTGATAATACTCGCCGTGGTTTTCATGCTCTCGAACGCTCCAGTGGCCTCAATACTTAACTTAGAAGGCATCTTGAATCCGGAGATCGGTCTATACGGTTTAATGTGTAATTTCGGTGGCTGCACGTTGTCTTTAGTGACATCTCCGATTATTTCACGTTATGCCGGGGCCAAAGGATCAGTGGTGCTGGGATCAATGAGCCAGATAGTGTTCATTGCGGCCCATTTCTACGTTCAGCCTTACATATTGTTACCCGTGGCATTCCTAAGTGGAATATGTAAGTACAACTTTTTCATGTATCTTGTACCACTATGACGGTTGTTTATCTGTGTAGTTACCATACGAAGAGGAACTACAAGAGAACTTCAGAGCAAAATGCTTGCTTGAACATGGAATTTAATTAAAAATAAATTCAAATGTGTCCTCTGATTGGCAACATTTACAGTTCACATGTTTAATCAAAAGAAATAGGAAATCATTATTATTTTAGACGATAACTGCTTTATTTTATTGATTTTCCCAGAACTAAAATAAATAAACATATTTTATCTAAAAAAACAAGATCAACCGTTATTTGTTGTTATTTTGAACCTTCACGTTGTATTATTATCCGTCGGTGTCATATAAGATTTTGATTGTGGACCTGTACATTTGACACGTACATGTACGGGATGGCTCAAAGACTAACTTGTATCTTAAACAGTGGGTATTGTTATAAACCTTCGTTCAAAATTGTAGCCAAATTTGTATAGATACATAAATGAATAAACTGAAAATGATAACTGACACTGTACGGAACAATTGTGCAGATAGTAGGTCAATGTATTTATATATTCTTGTCTATACTGTTGTTTATCAGTTTTTTGTCTTTATATGATTATAAGTTGGCATTTGTTTATTTTTCTTTATCATGACGGCATATATCATATTGTGCCATATTCACCATAAATTTATGAATATTAAATCTGTACATTTTGAAAGAAATTCTAAGTTTATTGGTTGGACTATTTTCAGTTTTTGCCAATGGTATGATAACCAGTAACGTTTACATCACGGCGCTGGCAGTAGACTACGCCAAAATCACAAAGAAACCGCTTCACCACGTAATGGGGTTCTTCAACGGACTGTTTTCAACAATATTCACAACCAACTTTATATGGGCTAACCTCATTTCATCTCTGGTCCTCACAACCGAGGAAATGGATAATAGGACGGAGTCATCGGAGTTTGGCAACTTGAGCGAGTTGTGTGGGCCATCTTTTTGTCCTTGGGAGGACGTTACTGGTACACACATTAGAGAACCTGAACAATACATTGTGTATATCCTACTGGGTTCGTACATCGGACTCATCTGCATAGCCTGCTGTGTCACTCTTTTGTTGCTTAAGAATATTCACCCCACGTCCGGAGACGCGCTTCATGGCGCCAGAGATTTTTGCAACAGTGTTCTGAATCTACTGTGGAAGAAGAAGCTTGTGTTGATAGTGCCTTTGTTGGTTACGGCTGGTTTGGGGCAAGAGTTTATTGCCACCGAGTTTACCAAGGTGCTACGCAGGATTTAAAAGTCTTAGGCCCGTATTCCAAGATGTTCCTTAAAATAGGTCTAAGGTCAACTTTTATAAAGGCTTCCTTTGATGAGGTGTTCCTTGGTAAAGCAAGGCCTAACGAAATGGTATTCTAAGACCACACTTTAGCCTCTCCTTTGATAAGGAATTACTTTGACAAAAGTCAGCCTTTAGGTAAGGGACACTGACATAAAGGAGCTCCTCATTCGTTAGAGTAGGCTTTTGTGACACTCTCCTCGTTTAAAACGCCTCAGTAATGTTATTTATTGAAAATTAATTGGGGTCAACTGATCAACAGTCATGCAATAGCGCATATGGACATAATAAATGCATGTGGATGTTTTGATATAAGCTAAATTTAGTGAATAAAGCAAGTATGCATGGCAAGAAGAAAAAAGAATGGTTTGGAGGATGAGAAAACCAAAGTCGTAGACCCTTTTATAATATCAAAAAAAAAGCAGCTATACTGATGCAACTAGTCAACAGAGAAAAGCCTATCCTCGCTCAAATGTATTACTTCCGCCAAGGAGGTTGTTTTCATCCCTGTTTGTTTGTCTGTCTGACTGTCTGTTTGTTTGTTCGTTTGTCATCAACATAACTCAAAAAGTTACAGGCCAATTTTGATGAAATTTTTAGGGTAGGTCAGAAATGGCTTATATTAGAAGTGATTAGTTTTTGGTGGTGATCAAGATCAATAATCAATAAATTATCATTAATTAAAAAAAAACTCAAAATGTTATGTGCTGATTGTGATGAAATTTTCAGGAACTGTCACAAGTGGGCCAAGGAACAGATGATTGGTTTTTGGTGGTGATCCGGATCAATAATCAATCAATAATAAAAAAAAAAAAAAAAAAAAAAAAAACTAAATCATTATATAATGAAAATTGGGTGTAGACTTTGCTGTTGGAGTGCTTTTCTAGTTTAATTTAATGATTTTGAATTTAGGTAGGCATGTTGGTTTAAATAGTCCTCCATGGAGCTGATTTTCACAAGAGCAATGTACACGAAGGCTGCTTAAGGAAGACTTAAAGTTACTCCAGACCAACCTTACCTTTTATGGAATCCTGGGCCGAAAATAAAGGAAATCTTTAAGCAAAGACAGATTCTAGAAATGACCGATTCCTTTGCTAAGGATGATTGTTAAGTGATTCCTTTCAAGTGAGATAAAGAAAGGTCTTGGAATACAAATTTCGTATAAGGTCGACTTTAGGTCTCCCTTAACGCTAAAGAGAGATTCTGGAATACGGGCCTTAGATTTCAACATTTAAGGTGGTTTAATGTAGGCTAAATAAAGTAGAGTAGTGTGTGAAATTTAATTGAGTGCAATGATTTAACACTTTGGTTCTGTGACGAAATCCATGCAGTGTACATCTTAGTACCAAAAAAAAAAAAAAAAAAAAAAAAAATACTTCAACCCATGATTAATTGACAGCTCATACAAATTAATACATAATAATGTCCTTCAATATTTTCAGGCATTTGTGAGCTGTGTAATAGGTGTCAATTACAACGGGTGGTCCATGATATGCTACTCGGCCGGAAGAAGCATAGGAAACGCTGTGATTGGTCGCCTCATCAAGTTCACTGGTTTGCCAGCCATGTGCGTGTTTGCCACTTGCATCAACAGCGCATGCCTGGCCAGTATGTTGGCACTTGATCCAGCGGATATTATTATTGAGTATCACTTCTTTGTCCCTGCGGCCTGGGGTGTAGCGGACGCCGTGTGGCTGACCCAAACGATGGGTATGTATCTGCCTTAATGGTAGGCATGGTAAAAATGTTAAATGCAATATTTTTCAATTGCTGATCTTTTTCTATGTCATTCCACATAGTGAAAAGTAATAAACTTAATTAAAATAACAGTTTTCGGCGTACTTGTAACAGTCCTTTCACGCCTACTTTACTATTCTTATCCCTTTTTATTTGGTTAATTGCATAATTACATGTATGATGTCCAAATTTATTCCAACGTTTGTGGTTATTTAAATTTAAATTTTTCAGCTTTCATAGGGCACACGTTTCCAGACGAAAAATGGCCAGCATTTGCAGCAGCAAGAACCAGCAACTACCTTTCATCGACTGTGATTTACGCCCTTTCTAATAGCCTTTGTTTGGACGCTAAAATATACCTTGTATTTGGTTCTGTTGGACTGTCTTTGTGTTCATTTATGACTTTTATTTTAATTCCAAAAATAAAAAGGACTTAGAATTGTTTCCTTATTTTATGTAGCAATTTGAGCGATTTGGATAGAGACACGTTAAGGCATTTGACAATTATTGCTCATTAAACCTTTTCTTAGGAAATAAATGTCAGCGTATCAGGCAGGAAAATGGAGGGTGTGTTACATAACATTTTAGCAACTCATATTATCAAAGGAAAGTCCACTTAAATTGATTAAATCAGTTTTTAAATCAATAAAATCATCGGTGCTTCTCACAAGCACTTTTTGACGTAGATGCTCGCTTCGTTTTGATATATTATTATTCATAATGTTCGTATATACTACATTCAATATTTACTATTATTTTAAACAAAATGCCATCAAGTTCAAGCGCCAAACGTATACTGCAAAAATATCATAGAATATCATATAGGCAACTATAGACAATTACTCGTCGAAAATGATTAGCAGATACAATGAATCACGTCACATGCAAAAAATAAGATTTTGAAGTACCTTAAAGACCCGTGACTGGAAGCTCCGTTTATTTTGTGCGTTTCATTGGAAACCTAAAACATTCCTGTTGCGATGCTTTTTATCACAGTATTGCGTGCTTGGAAAAAAACAAATTACCAATATATATGACATTTTTTTCACTTGAGATTGCAATTTCACCCACGTGTAAGGACTTCTAGCCTATAGCGTTCTCATTCTAACGGCCTTGAATGGAGAACACGGGTCCTTTTACAGGCTTGTTTACCATTGAAATCTTATCTGACCAACTTGTTATTGGATCGATGGTATATTACCATCTATATGTGTACGGTTACCAATGCTAACAGTCTTTACATTGCAGATTACACAACTGCTGGTTGACCCTCTCAATGTAAGACATTCCACCTACGAAGGCCTACCACTGTACCTTTCAAAATGGCTCTCGCCGTAGAGGCAATTCTGTCTTACGAAGTAACGGCAAAAGAAGAAGAATCAACAGATGCATCAACTGGAGAGGACCACACTGTGAAGGCATTATTGTCGGATGGTTCATCTGGTAATTCCTCTGCGCCGTCAGAGGCACAGCCCTTGTTGCTGCGCTCCCAATCGGGTGCCAGGCAGTCCAGTCGAACCCCGGTGGTTCAGCTGTTATTCTTATCTGTGACATACATGCTTGGGTTTTCTCCCTTAACAGCTTTGTTGAATTTAGAAGGGATTCTGAATCCTGAGATCGGATATTATGCCTTGATGGGGAATTACGGAGGCGCCGTATTTTCTTTTGTAACAGCCCCTGTCATTGGACGGTTATTGGGTGCCAAGGGATCAATCTTACTCGGTTGGAGCGGCCAGTTGGTCTTCATAGCTGTTCACTTTTATGTGAAAGCTTATATTATCATTCCAGTTGCATTCTGTGTAGGCATATGTGAGTATTTACAGCATTCCTTGTCTAGAACTCATTCCGTGCTCGTTAAGTCGTAAACATACATATCCAGAAATTAATTTTTCCTTGAAATGTCCCGCTTGAATTTAAATTATGAAGACAGGTTTAAAATGCAAACGAAGGTATTTACTTACTGATAGCAAAAATTGTGTTTTATTTATTTACTTTTTAATTATTCATTTTTTAGAAATTGTTAATGGAATTTATAACAGCTTGAAACCTTGATTTCAGTGCATGCGCAGACAATGATCACCAGTGGTGTTTTCGTGACCACGTTCGCCCTACAGTATTCAGAAATCACTAAAAAACCGCAAAACACAGTCATGGGGATGTTTAACGGGGTATTCTTTGCCATGTTTGCGTTTGACGCCGTTTGGAGCAACCTCGTTTCATCGCTGATTCTAAACAAACCCGTAGAGATCTATTTCAACGGAACAGGGCTTCCAAACCCGCTGAATTTAAGTCAGCTATGTGGACCAGCTTTCTGTCCGTGGGAAGATACATCCGGGACCTACATCCGGCAACCGGAACAGTACATAGTGTATATTCTTCTGGGGTGTTTTCTATCAATGTCAGGAACGGCTTTTCTTATAACGTTGTGCTTTATTAAAAACATTCACCCGTCCAGCGGAGACGCCATGCACGGTTCTAAAGATTTCTTCTTCGTCATCGTGAACTTAATATTTAAGAAAAGACTAATTCTTATTATCCCTCTTTTTGTAGCAATAGCAATTGAACAGGAGCTTATCGTCACCGAGTTCACAAAGGTAGGACTTAATTGGTATATATTTCTTCATCATGTAAAACACAGAAAACAGGGGGAAAAAGTGCTGGACATTCGATTAGGTTTAATTAAGTTATCGTGTGTTTGGGAGGGATCTCACGGACCCAGATTTCACGGACCCAGATCCTATGCAAATAGGATATGCATATATATGAAAATATACAGACTTGACATTTAATATGGAATATTTTTTCCAAATCTATTTTCATCAGTTTTGTTCTATTTTGCTGACTGATATATGAAAATAAGGATTGAAATAGTGTTTTAATAACTTTTAATAACTTTAATAACTTCTCTTTGATGTCATTGTGACATCAGTTCATTAATGGAATTCGCCAGAGAAGCAAACAAAAACACTTTGCCTATTCTATGTCATATGACAACCATTAAAAGAGATATTTTGAATCTCCATATTTTCCTAATTATTTTCCGTAAAAGGGTTACACGCTCCACTAAGGACCCTCATGTCAGTGTCTAGTCACATTAACGGTCGCTGTTACGCCTGACTTCTTCTGGCTACTACCAGCTCTCTCAGGTGGCAAGGCATTCCTAGGAATAGGTTTTTAGAGTTCAATCTGGAATAACATTCCACGCATGGGTCGAAATCTGTCCAATTTGGTCCAGTTGTGTTGTAGGACATGTAGGCCATTCATTCGGCGAGTAATGGCCTACCCTATTGTCTATGTGGTTCAAATATGGCGATTTTGATGACTAAGGTAGCTGCTCTTTCTCTTGGTTCTGTAAGTAATCTGCTATAAAAAGTGCTCTGTATAAACTGCCAATCTCACCGTGCAACCTAAAATTGTTTCTTAGGTGCCCCGTATCAAATGATAGTCAAGTGGTTCCCAGATTATTCCTTAATTTGATCTATTTCAGGTTTTCGTCGATGACTACCATTGGTGTTTTGGCACCAATGTGGTGTCCACTCAAAACATTGACTCTGTTAATGACCTTAGTCACTTTAGACGCGGCACACACTTCGTCGTTGATCTCTTCTGGATGTCTGTAAACTCTGTTTTGACTAATTGGGCGGTACAGGTGAAATCTGACCTCAATAAAGAAAGCCACGAGGTTTCAGTATTCAACCCAGAAACGATCAAGGTCCCCAATTCATTAGAGAAACCAACAACGATGTTTTGCTGTTTATAGTGGGTTCCTCGGAGGTCGTTTAGTATTCTAACCTGCTAAAACCAGATTTGTGTTCTCTAAGAGCCTTGAAAATGCGTTTTGGTGGCAATTTACCCCTCATTCCGAACGAACTGGGTGGTTTTTGTTTAGTTGCAACAGCATATCCCAAAAGACAGTGGGTCCTGTACCCAGGTGGTAAGATTACAATACATTGGGTGTAACCTCTGTGTATGTACATCAGTCTGGGCATTACTGTATAGAACTCTACTGACCGTTCCGTTTAGCGCAATAATCTGTCTGGCAATGTCTGTCGTTTTCGCGCCATTCTGCCAAAGATTTACAATTGTGTAAAGCACTGCTTGACTCATTTTATGCACTTCAGAACCGACCGCTTGCATGCAAAATTTAAAATTCTTCTGTGCAGTAGTTGCCGACATATGGATACTTTTTTGACAGAACCATGCTTTGCCAAAGCCAAGCTTTGACCTGCCCAAAGGAGCACTACCCAATTAAATCATTGCATATTACATAATGCAGCAGCGCAACAAACCTGGTATTGAGTTAATTGAAAGCAACACACCTGACTACACACTTCTCTATTCACATATCTTATATGAGATCTTTTTTTTTTATTTTTAAGAACGTATGTTTATCTAGGAATACCTTCGAAACTGAAATATTCCATATTAAATGTCAAGTCTATATATATATATATATATATATATATATATATATATATATATATATATATATATATATATATATATATATATACCTGTATATGCAAATAATATCATTTTGTTTTTTGAATGGTTAACCCCTCTTCACACACACATGAAAAATATGCTTCCTACGCAGCTGAATAGACACATTGTCGCTTAGGATTATTATTCACACACACACACACACACACACACACACACACACACACATATATTTTTTTTTCTTTTTTAAGGGGGCCTTTTAAATATAATTGTTAAATAATCAAATAAGAATAAATCAATAAATAACTTAAGATGCTTGTCTTATCAACTGTTCATTTATTTTATATTAATGAGTTCTTATATCCACACAGGCATTTGTCAGCTGTGAGATCGGCGTCCAGAACAATGGCTGGACAATGCTGGCCTTTGTTGCAGGACAGTTGCCAGGCAACCTCGCAGCTGGACGGTTGGTCAAACACCTAGGCTGGCCCATCATGTACATCCTGGCATTTCTGTGCAACTGCGCATGCTTGACCAGTATGTTGCTCTTCGATCCGGTGAACAGGGGCATGGAGTTCTATTTTCTGATTCCGGTTGCATGGGGTTTTTCGGACTCGGTGTGGATGACTCAGTCTTCAGGTCGGATATAATGTATATTCTTGCTTTTCAAAGACAGAAATAATGTTTTGTCCTTTAACTTTCAACGAAAAACAAACATCCAAACATCCAGAACAGCTTGGTTTTAATTGCAATGAGTAGATGCTTCTGCGCCTGCAAAAGAAAGTCCAATACTCCATAGAACTACTGTTTATCCATTAGCTTTTTAAAAATTTCCTTTTATCAGTGTTTTCATACATGCTCAATGTTAAAATTCTGTATAGTTGGATGTCTATTACTCATTCATGTTCATGTTTGCCTCATCTTGTATTTTCTTGTACACATGCCGTACATCTATTATTTTTTTTTCTTTATTATATCACTGACAAAACGAACATCCATTTAGTCTTTAGACACAGTCTCTTTATCTAGTATGCACGCCAGTACTGCCCCTTCTGCAGGACTTATCGACCTCGAATGAGCGCCTCTCATACCCACGTGGTACATTTACCTTTTCAATACACCGCCCACTGATTCGACCTTTCACATGACTTCCCTCTTACCTGACGTCATCATCGACCCGTTTAACGACAGTAAATTCATTTTTCTAATCAGATTACCTGTAGTAGAGATCGAACTGTTAGTAGTATCAATGCACGAAATATGTGTTAGACTAAATCACTATTATAACTGTTATTATCATTATGTTAGTATCATTATATTTACTATTATTATTAACCTATACTTTTCCAATATTGTTGTACTTATATTTTCAGCATACGTGGGGCATATGTTTCCAGACGAAAAGTGGCCGGCATTCGTGGGGGTCCGCTCAGCCCTTTATGTTGTATGGGGTTCACTGTACGCCACAACAAACTTCATCTGTATGGAAGGCAAAATATACATTGCGTTTGGTGTGATGGGATTTGCGTTGTGTTCTTTTGAAATGTTTGAATTCCTTCACCGTAAAGAGAAGAAAAAGTAAATGCAGACGGTTTAAATTTTACAGCAGCCTTTCTTCATATTACAGCAATATTTGTCCAATATTCAATTTCCATTGAATAGAGGAGCCTGCAACCTGCAGTGACACTGCATCTGGATACGTTGAAAGTAAAAGTGTCTTAATTTACATTTCAATTTTCATTTAGAGCTTGGCTTCTTTCTGTATGTTCATTCCTAACAAATAGCAAATGCTTGTATCTAAATGATGCTACAACTGAATATATTAAAACATACCTGAATTCAGAACAGGTGTAAGACATTTCACCTCCCACTTGCCAAGTGCGTTCTTTTTTTTACTTTGGAAGACTTATCTAACAGACTTGCATTCACCCTACTTCGCTATTCCCATTCAAATACGTGCTGTGTATTGCTTACTCAAACGTACACTGCAAAAATACCTTTGAATATTTTATAGACACATTATCCACTAGGTAATTACCGCTCGAAAATTGCTTTAATAGATATTTCCAAATACCTTGGATACCCCATCTGATAACTCCATTTCTTATGTGAGTTTATATATATATCTCGTAATGGAAAATCTACGGCATTCCTGTATCAATGTAATTTACGAAGTCTTACCAGGGGCGAAACCAGGATTATTTGAAGGGGGGCATGGATGCACGCGAAGCCTACCCTCGCTCCCCTTGGCGGAGGGTTCGGGGCCCGCTAAAGGATATTGGCATTTCAGATGGTGAACGGTGTCATTTGGTACGGTTTACAACTATGATTCATCTAGTCTAAATTCTAATTGGGTCTAAATGGTATAATTTTTTCAGAAATCGAAGTTGGGGTTAGGACTCCCCTCTCACTCCCCTTAATCTGCCGCTGCTTACATGCTTCGAAAATACAAGTCTCCCAATATAAGTGACAATATATTTTTTTCACTTGAAATCGTAATTTCACCCACGTATTAGGACATCTAGCCTGGTGTCTACATTCTAACGGCCTTGACTTTACTTTCTTGTTTACCATTGAAATCTTATCTTTAAATTGATCAATGATACATTGCCATATATGTGTGTGAGGTAAGCAATACTTAGACGTCTCTACAGTGCAGATAAACCAAACTGGTTGTTTACGCTCTCAACGTAAGACACTCCACCTAATATCCACGAAAGTCTGTATACCACCGCACCTTTTAAAATGGCTCTCACCGTTGAGGCACTTCTGTCTTGCGAAGTAACGGAAACAGCAGGCGAATCACCCAAAGCATCAACTGCAGAGGACCACACTAGGAAGGCAACATTACTCCAGGGTTCGTCTGGCAATTGTTCCTTGACATCAGAGACACAGCCCTTGTTGCTGCGCTCCCAACCCGGTGCCAGACAGTCCAGCCGAACCCCGGTCATACAGTTGTTAGTGTTATCTATGGCATTCATGCTCGGATTCTCTCCCTTAGCGGCTTTATTGAACTTAGAAGGGATTCTGAATCCTGAGGTCGGATATTATGCCTTAATGGGCAATTTCGGAGGCGCCGTATTTTCTTTTGTAACAGCCCCTGTCATTGGGCGTTTATTGGGTGCCAAGGGATCAATCTTACTCGGTTGGAGCGGCCAGTTGGTCTTCATAGCTGTACACTTTTATGTGAAAGCCTATATTATCATTCCAGTTGCATTCTGTGTAGGCATATGTAAGTACAGCATTCATTGTCCATTTTAACGTTATTCGATGCTCGTTAGGCAAACATACATATCCTGAATTTAATTTTCCTTGTTTTATTCTACTCGAAGAGTGGTTGAAAACGAAAACGAATATATTTATAAGTTGCTGGCATCAACTGGGGATTCAATATTTATATATTTATATATTTATTTATTTATTTATTTATTTATTCCTAATTTATTACAGCTTGGAATCTTAATTTCAGTGCATGCGCAAGCGATGATCACCAGTGGCATTTTTGTGACCACGTTCGCCCTACAGTATTCAGAAGTCACTAAAAAACCGCAAAATACCGTCATGGGAATGTTTAACGGAATATTCTTTGCCCTGTTCTCGTTTGAAACTGTCTGGAGCAACCTCGTTTCATCGTTGATTCTAATTCAACCTGTAGACGACTTTGTCAACGGAACAGCGGTTCCAAACCCAATAAATTTAAGTCAGCTATGTGGACCAGCTTTCTGTCCGTGGGAGGATACATCCGGGACCTACATTCGGCAGCCGGAACAGTACATAGTGTACATTCTTCTGGGGTGTTTTCTTGCAATGCCAGGAACGGCTTTACTCATAACAATGTTCTTTCTTAAGAATGTTCACCCATCCAGCGGTGACGCCATGCACGGTTCTAAAGACTTCTTCTTCGTCATCGTCAACTTGATATTTAAGAAGAGACTGATCCTCATCATCCCTCTTTTTGTAGCAATAGCAATTGAACAGGAGTTTATCTTCACTGAGTTCACAAAGGTATGCTATTTCTTGTCCTCTATATAGCAAACACTTTGGAAAAAGGAGGGACGGGTAGGGATAAGGGTCGGGTGGGGTGGGCATACCTCTCACAGGGAATAGGGGTACTTGCTTAAACCAAATGGATATTTGAATAAGTTACAGTGTGTGTGTGAGGGGGACGGAAATGGGCCGAGAGGGAGGGGTAGGATTAAGTATCAAGGACCGAGAGCCTAGTCAATCGAAGTGAACGGTAAAATATATCATTTTTCTGAACCCTGCCTCCCTTACAGACGCACAGCCGCAAAGTATGCAGCCTACGCAACTAAATGCACACATTGTAACAAAAATTTACTGTTCACAGAGGTGGCTAAAGAATTATAAATAAGTTTACAAAATTCAATTAGTTATTCATATTAATATTCATATCCTCTCAATTAGACATATTTCAAATCAAATTAATCTGTTCTTATATACCAACATAAAAGGAGGAAAAAAGACACGCACGCGTTATTTTTTTCTTCTTATTGTCTTCTTAACTGGACTTGTAGCTTAAATGTATATTTCATGTCCATACAGGCATTTGTCAGCTGTGAGATAGGCGTCCACTATAACGGGTGGGTAATGCTGGCCTATGTTGCGGGTCAGTTGCCAAGCAACCTGGCAGCTGGACGATTGGTCAAACACCTAGGCTGGCCTATCATCTACATCCTGGCATTCCTGTGCAACTGCGCATGCCTGACTAGCATGTTGTTCCTCGATCCATTAAACAGGGGCATGGAGTTCTATTTTCTCATTCCGGTTGCTTGGGGGTTTTCGGACTCGGTGTGGACGGCACAGTCTTCTGGTGAACGATCGGCTTTATATTCTTATTTGCTTTACAACTGCATTAAAATTATTTTTATCTTGTAACTTTCAATTAATAACAAACACACAAACTGCCAGAACAGTTTGATTTTAATTGCAGTGAGTCGGTGTAACTGTGCCTGCGTAAAGAAAGTCCAATGCAACATAGAACTATTCTATATTCATTAGCTTTTCCCATGTTTTTCTTATATCAATGTTCTCATTCGTATTTAGTTTTAAAATCATGTAAACTTTGATGTCGATTCCAAATTCATGTTCATGTTTGCCTCAACATTTTATTTTCTTGTACACATATACACGTAGTACGCCTATTTTTTATCCTCCATAATATCACTGACAAAACGTAAATTTATTCCGTCTTAATGCACCGTTTCTGAATCCGACAAGTACTGCACAATAACACTGTGATGCAGGGCTTACCGACATCGAATGAGCGCCTCTCATTTCACGTGGTTTATTTACCTTCTGAATACATCGCCCCAAGACTCGTTTCACGTGAATTACCTCTTACCTGACGTCATCATCGACTCGCTTAACGACAGTTAATTCGTTTTTCTAATCAGATTACCTGTAGTAGAGAACACATTGTTAGTAGTTCCAATACACGTAATATGCTTAAGACTTAAATTTATATGATAAAAATTGTTTTTATTATTGTAACTGTTTTTATTATAATATTAATTATGATTATTAACCATATACTTTTTTTATATTGTTGTACTCGTTTATTTTCAGCATACGTGGGACATCAGTTTCCTAACGAGAAGTGGCCAGCATTTGTAGCAGTCCGTTCGGCCCTTTATATTGCATGGGGTTTACTGTACGCCACAACAAACTCCATCTGTATGGAAGGCAAAATATACATGGCTTTTGGTATGATGGGATTTGCCTTGTGTTCTTTTGCAATGTTTGAATTCCTTCACCGTAAAGAGAACAGAAAGTAAATACAAACAGGATGAAATTGACAGCAGCCTTTCGTGGCATTATAGCAATATTTGTAATTTTTAATAATATAGAAATTTAAATTGTTTATTAAAAGCTTTTCCGGATACAACAAAATATAATAACATTGAAACAATACAATGAAACAAAATTAAATAAACTGAAGTTAAAATACGTGGCATTTTGATATAAGGTTGAGTTTGGGGTGCGTTTTGCTTTCTAGAGCATTAAATAATCTTAACCTTCTGTAGTGTCAAATTACTGGCGATGTTTCACATTTGTATACTGATACTGTCGGAAAGATGGCACATTTTGGACTTTTATTTTACATAATAAAGAGATAGAAAACACAACTGCTTTAGAAAATATGCTGACAACTTCAAATCATCTTTTTTTCCTGGATTGTGAGGGCCTTGATCTGAGTCAACGGGCTACTTTTAGGTCGTGACTGTTTGTAATCTGGTCCGTACACTGTAAAAACAGTGTTTGGCATGTAAACACATTTCTAAGCGCCTGTTTTGTCTCACTTTTTCGACGCGTTTAGCTCCTAAGCACGTTAAGCTCCTTAACATGTTACACGCTTTGACGCGTTTGACGCCGAATATACGTAGGGTGTATTTGCTTAACTTTAGGTGGTAAGGGTTTCATACACACACACACACACACACACACACGCGAAGTCCCGGTCACCTTTAATACCCCCTTTACACTGGACGGCGTCCTTTCTGCGTCCTTTCTGCGTCCTTTCTGCGACCATGAAATTTGGCATCGCCGTGGTCTTAATAAGGAGGCACGAGCATTGATTTGGTATCAGAATGAATGCTAAATGATCAGCCAGTTGTCGGCACGTAAAGTATTATAATTCTTTAACTGTCAAATGGGGCCGAACTGCTGGACGCAGAAGGGACGCTGTCCAGTGTAAAGGGGGCTTAATTGTCATAGATATCTCTATAACAGGGTACCGTGAACTGTCAACGTCGTTGACTTAACACCATCACATTTACAGTGGGACTTATTCATCCTTGTGTTAGCTGACCTTGCGAGGGAGGTTATTGGAGTATATTTCTTAAAATCAAGTTAGGAAAATTCACTAGTTTACTAAAGACACAAAACAATTACCACTTTTACTTTAAAATATTTTTTTCATATTTTGATAAAATGCGTTACGGTATTGATGTCTATTTATTTTTTCTGGAAGTAATGAACAATAGAACATCAGGATGATGGTGGGGTATTCACAATAATGGTTTATTTAAGCTTTCATCGCATGCTGGTTATTTTGGTAATGATAGTCCGAATATTTAACAAATCGCATCGCTCTAGTCGCCTACTAACCCCAAGCCCAATTTGCAATTAACCGCTAACTGTAGTTCATTCAGCATAAGACGTGTTTTTGGTTATTTATAAAATATGTTTTCAAAACATTAAATAATGTTTTTCCAGAATGTTATAAAACGCCTATAAAACTGCAGGGGTATCATTTTGCATGGAATTAAAAACACCCATAACGTTACCATAACGTTATTCTATACTATCACGTCGTGAATTTGTTATTTAGATTATTACTTAATAGGCCTATTTAAAATTATCACATGTTACTACAAGGAAGGACACAACGCGTTCGAGCAGGCTGTTCCACGCCTCCAACAGCTTCATACGTTTACAAGGGGAAGTGCTAAGCCAAATTGTTGAGTCTTGTAATAAATTTTTTATGGGATCGTATACATGGGATTGTGAAGTTTTTTTTTTCTGTGACAAGCTTGAAAAGCTTAACGTGTTGTTCAGCAGCTCCACGCGTTTAGGAGTTCCACACCTATAGCAGCTCTATATGTTTAGCAGCCTCACGCGATTAGCAGGGGAAGTGCTTAGCCAATGTGCTTAGCTTGTGATAGACTTGTTATAGAATTATATGCCGGTGAAGGTTAACACATAGCTAAACGTGTAACACTGCCAACGTGTCTAGCTTTTTCGTCTTTGAAACGCTTGAAAAGCTATATTTGCTTAACTTTTACACATATTTCTAAATGCGTATAGGTGCCTAACGTGTGTTGTATGCATTTAAATGCTAAGCACTGTTTTTACAGTGTAGTAACATGGGTGCACTATATGAATTAATATTTTGGTTAATTCAGTATTTTGGGCTCTTATGACGTTGTTTCAGTGAGTGAACTGAGACAGACTTAAAAATTATTTCACATATTTTATTTCAGTAGAAACCACTGCCCTAGATCTGCTGACTACGAAATAACCCTTTCTTCCAAGTCACGTATTTTTATACCAAAACTCATTTACATTGCAATCAACATTATAGATTTGACTTACAATTGAACGTAGATGTATCTTATCTATCACTCTTTTCCTTAAATTGGAAATATAAGTATTTAATTTAATATTTGCATGTAGTATGCAACCTTCAATGACACTATATTTGAATACATAGAAACTTAAACATGTCTTAATTTACATTTTCATTTCAATTTGGAGCTCGACATATTCTGTATATTTATCTTTTACAAACATGCATATGTATAATGTACTGAACAAATGTGTGTATCTAAAATGTAACTTCCCATGATGCTACAGCTAGATATATTGAAACATATCTGAAGTCATCTATACAGGAACTTGTGGAGGTCATTTTCTCACTTACGTGCCCAGTGCGTTCTTGTTTACATTGGAATACTTATCTGACCGACTCGCCTCAACCTTACTCTAAGGTGTTAGTAAATACTAGAGGAGCACTGTTGCCGTCAGAAACACAATTGCTACCTTCTTATACAGTTAACATCTGATTATACCATAAATTGCCTTCATTCAGAGACAAAAACAGGTGGACGTTATTTAATCTCCCACTTGTCCAATGCCTTCTTGTTTACATTAGAAGGTTTATCAGACCGACCTGCATTAACCTTGCTTCACTATTCCCATTCAAATACGTATTTAACTATGCTTACCTACATCGTTTGAAAGCACAGCATAAACTTTGTGAATCGCAGTTAGCAACACGCTAGTCGACCTGATATTTACGTGCCTCTCAGCTGGAATTCGACATGTCTCTGGTCGTAGAGGCAACTCTGTCTTGCGAAGGCTTGGATATAGAGGAGGAATCAACCCATGCATCAACTGCAGGGAGCCAAAGAATGGAGGTTCTCTTGTCGCCGATTTCCTCTAACGAAACCCCAGCGCATGAGGAGAACAATTCCTCGTTGCTGGGATCAAAAAACAGCTTCAGGTCGTCTAGTAGAACCCCGTTGATACAGCTGGTAGTGTTGTCGGTGGCATACATGCTGGGATTCTCTCCTTTAGCAGCTTTATTGAACTTAGAAGGAATCCTGAATCCTGAGATTGGACATTATGCCTTGATGGGGAATTACGGAGGTGCCATATTTTCATTTGTAACAGCCCCTGTGATTGGACGGTTTCTAGGCGCCAAGGGTTCAATCCTGCTAGGTTGGAGCGGACAGTTGGTGTTGATAGCAGTGCATTTCTATGTAAAAGCGTATATCCTCATTCCTGTGGCATTCTGTGTAGGCGTGTGTAGGTATTATTTACCGATTCTTAAAAGCCATGCATCGCGCGCAAGGCCTTTTAAATGTCATAGGAATTATGTTCATTTCTATTCGCAACCAAGTTATACCTAATCCAGAAGTGTTGAAACATAATATTCGAAAGTAAACCCGATTTTTAAGTTAATGTGTCCACTTTCTAATGGAATTTGCTTGTCTATCTCCGTTATTTAAATAACTATGAAGCTGGAAACACACATATAGTAGTAACGGTTACTGATAAAACTATACACCTTTCTGAAAAGGTGCTTAAAATTGAAAGAAATCTTAGATTCTTGTCATATGTGGGTCTGACGTATGTCGTGTGGTGTTTTAAGGTATATCCTGTTAGACATTTATTTGTGCCTCGATCACACAATTTACATACACATTAAGGCACCGTTGTGCAAACAAAAATCGTTAATATGCATTAATCGTGGATATAATCTGGGTATTTGGTTTCAGTGCATGCGCAGACAATGATAGCTGCTGGGGTTTTCGTGACCACGTTCGCCCTACAGTATGCAGAAATCACTAAAAATCAGCGACATACAGTCATGGGGATGTTTAATGGAATGTTTTACGCCATATTCTCATTTGAGACTGTTTGGAGCAATATCGTTTCTTCTCTAATACTTAACCAACCTGTGGTGACCTACTTCAACGCAACAGGGCTTCCAAACCCATTGAATTTAAGTCAGCTATGTGGACCAGCTTTCTGTCCGTGGGAGGATACATCCGGGACCTACATCCGGCAACCGGAACAGTACATAGTGTATATTCTCCTGGGGTGTTTTCTAGCAATGTCCGGAACAGCTTTTCTGATAACGTTGTGCTTGGTTAAGAACATCCACCCATCCAGCGGTGACGCCATGCACGGATCTAAAGACTTCTTCTTTGCTATTGGCCATCTACTGTTCAAAAAGAAACTGATCTTTCTCATCCCCCTTTTTGTGGTTACAGCAGTTGAGGAGGAATTTATCTTCACTGAGTTCACAAAGGTATATGTTGCGATTTCTGAGCAGTTTTGTTAGCAAGTGTACCCAAAGAGTTCTATTGATCTAAGAGGAAATCCAAAGACAAATACATCGAACGAAACGAATCGCAGTGTTGTAAAGGTGAATATAAAAGGGAGGAAATATAAGGTTTTTTTCTCTTTCTTTATTATCTTCTTAATTGAACATAATGCTTAATTATATATGTTATGTCCACGCAGGCATTTGTCAGCTGTGAAATCGGCATCCACTATAACGGGTGGGTAATGCTGGCCTACGTTGCAGGACAATTGGTTGGTAACCTTGCAGCTGGGAGATTGGTCAAACACCTGGGCTGGCCCATCATGTACATCCTGGCATTTCTGTGCAACTGCGCATGCTTGACTAGCATGTTGCTCCTCGATCCGATGAACAGGAGCACGGAGTTCTATTTTCTTATTCCGGTTGCTTGGGGTTTTTCGGACTCGGTGTGGATGACTCAGTCTTCAGGTAAATGACCCGATATATTTTAAAAGTAAACGCTGATGGTTCCAGGAGGTACAGTACTCGCCTATCTTTGGGGACATCTTTGCTTACTGCAATTCTTGCCTTTTTCCATTGCGAGGGACAAAGTATAACAAGCGCCAATAGACAAGACCAAGCAATTTTTGCATTCATATAACTTATATTTGTGCCCTACAAATTATATTTAGCCTCGTGTATATATTCGCCTAGGGAATCAAACCGAAATACAAGCCAGCCTTCCTCCTTAAGCAAATTGTCTAAACTCCTATTCACAAACACTGTTCAGAAACTACAGACAACACCGGTCCACTCGACAATATATGGTTTTTCAAACATCAACAGTTTATTTTATTTTGTTTTATTTTTATTTATTTTTATTTATTTTTATTTATTTTTTATTTTATTTTGACGGATTATACTTTAAAAACATGTTAACCCTAGCAGTCAATCCACTTATGATATTAAGGATGTTATATATATATATAATACTGACAGTTCTTTAGAGTTACATAGTGAACGGCAAGCATTTAAGCTGCAGGCATTATATTTGTCTGCTAATTTCAACATTTTAAAAATAAATTACCGTCGTATACTTCAAAAACCGTTGACAAATGTTTGAACTCTGAGGTTTCTATCCTTCTCTCAGCCTCGTTGTGGAAATAACAGTTGCAGTTCGAAATATACTCAACTTTCTGATAAGTTCTCGCTTTTTGACATAATATTTTTGATATGTCTAAGTACTATTATTATTATTATTATTATTATTATTATTATTACCTTTTTGCTGTTCTTATATTATTTATTTATTTTTTTTTTTTAATATTTTCAGCATACGTGGGACATGTATTTCCTAACGACAAGTGGCCGGCATTTGTAGCAGTCCGTGCGGCCATTTATATTGCATGGGGTTCACTGTACGCCACAACAAACTTCATCTGTATGAACGACAAAATATACATCGCGTTCGGTGTGATGGGATTCGCCATGTGTTCTTTTGGAATGTTTGAATTCCTTCATCGTGGAGAGAAGAAAAAGGAAATTCAAGCAGGAAGAAATTAAATGTAGTCTACCGTCGTATAACGCCAGTATTTGTAGGTTGTCCTTTATTTACATTTCCGGATACAAAAATAGGACTTGAAGTTACTTGACCTATGGCATGAAGTAATACGACCCCAAGCTTTGTTCTACTTGTAGCTTGCTAATACATGAATTATCCGTTTAATTTTTGTCTGATCAATCTTCGTATGGTGAACAGGTGATCTATAGTTTTAATTTTTATTACAAAACATATTGAATAAGAAACTAAAATCCGTGGACAACTAGCAAAATGTATCTTGGAAGAGTGTGTGCAGGGTAATATCGCCTGAGGTACCGGTGTGACAGGAATGGTAGTCCTAGGAATGGAAGTCTGGTGTCCGTGTGACAGAAAGTCCGCTCTCCATATAGTTGTAATAATTAGGGTTAGTCTGACCTAAGTGGGTCAAAATCTAGGTCGAGGCTCACCTGTACAAATGCATGGAAAGCGGACTCTCTGTCAAGGGGGGGGGGGGGGCGCTTTCTGGTACATCACAGCAGGGTCCCATATGATTGGTACTGGTTGGGGTTAGTCGGAGTATTGGGGTTAGCATATGGGGCGAAGGTCAACTTTCCCTGTCACAAGGAGTCAGTCTGCGCTTAGAGAGCATTCCATGGTAATATATATATATGTGTGTGTGTGTGTGTGTGTGTGTTGTACAGGGTACATTGTTCCTTTTGGAACAATACGTTATTGGGACCGTTTCCTGAGCAATTCAAACAGATATCTCACTCCTTCATTTGGAAGAGGTGACAAAAATAACTAGAGGCATCATCGTTGCAACACACTTGCTCATAATTCTCGTCTGTTAAGTGATTTTTTTGCAGATACGAAATGTTCTGAGGATGGAACAACCTTCTCTGTGCGCTGATACTAACATTATTGAGCACCTGCGTCATGAGTTGAAGTTAGCAGAGAAGATTCCAACATCTAATAATCTGGACCAATACCACAAATAATTTCTGGACGAATGGGACAATTTTCCACAGGAAAAAAGTGTCCTTCTTGAAGGCATGCGGCTTCGCCTACAGCAGATTATTGCAGTTCGCGGCAAGACACGTGGCCTTAAACGTATACATGCTGATGATAATTGTGTGTACATTTGGTGACATGAGGTAGTGTCTTTGAAATTTTATGGACATATTTTAAACCTCTGTTGTAATCTCTGTGGAACATGGGCTGTATGTACAGGGTAGCACTTCGGCTGATCGAACATTCAGTAATGTCTAAAGGCTTTTCTTGTATTTTTTTCTATTTATTGTTATTCGTAATGAAGTATATTTAAGGTTAATGTACTATGGGAAGGATTTAACCAAAATAAAACATTAGTATGTCCACTTTTATCATCTATTTGTGACACTGAGCGCATTTAAAAGAGCGGAATAACAGACCCGAGGCTCAAATATGGCCGATCCGCTTGATTGCTTGTTGCGTAATTTCCACGGGTAGTCTATTTAATGTCAATTAAGCTAATTAAGTATCAAGCTTTTAAATGCGTCGCCACATTTGATCCGCAGACCTGTTGTCCGATGTTCTGAATGTGCTAATACTCGTCGAGAAAATAACTCTAGAAACAATCAGACCGTTCTTGATACCATTTTCCTGTCATGATGTTTAGAGCAGTCCTGAGGGCATGAGATGAGATACTTGGAACTGGGTTCCCATAAAACTTTCGTACTAAGAGGATCGAACTCCAAGGTGATTCTCGCCGAATTGCATTCAGTTTAAAGGGCCTTAAATGTCTGTCACGCCCACTGAAGCTGCTAGTGGGGTAATTAACTTCCGTGCACGCTTAAAATAAATGCAATTTAATGAGAAACGGAGATAGATCGATCCTGCTAGTACAATAGGGCATGGGAATGACCCTTAGACACTGTAACTTTGCAGTGGTTCAAGTTGAAGAAATGCCCCCGCCACTTGTTTACATGTACAACACACTCATATAACCACCAGTTTTTTCTGTATTGTACTCAACGCCAGGAGGAGTCGTGTTATTTTCTTAATCTGATTGCATTCAGCGGAAACCCCTGCAGAGTTGGATCCATTACCGTTAGTTCATTAGGGAGGATCCCTTACACTAATACTAATATATGCCAATACACGCGTGTCAAGCGTGACTTGATAGAAAACTGTCGCATTTTGTGCCTTCTTGTTATGAGTCAGCGGCTAATGCCCCTATTTCACACAGACCACGAATCCCACGAATCGCCAGGAATTGACATTTCAACCACGAATCCTGAAATTTGTTAATTCCTGGCGATTCGTGGGATTCGTGGTCTGTGTGAAATAGGGGCATAAAGGAAGACGGTGTTTATCTAATAAATGCGTCGCCCCATTAACCGAACGACTTGATCCTTGTCTTGTCAGATATAAGATCACACCTCCGTATATCACCACCTGACGCTTTCTAGATAAGTTACTCATTGAAGAAAAGTCTACAACATGGCGCCTGACATCGGCTTGGAGAAGACAGACGACAGCGAGAAAACCTTACTACTGGTAACGCCAGAAAAACACAAGAAGAGCAAATGGCGACCTTTCAGCCAGCTGATAATATTTGCCTTCATCTACATGATCGGGTACTCCCCGTTGGCAGCTTTGTGGAACTTGGAAGGGATTTTGTTTCCGGACGTCGGTCTGTACGCGCTCATGTGTTATTACGGCGGTTCTCTCTTCATCTTCGTAGCGTCTCCGTTTATTACGAGAGCTATAGGCGCTAAGGGGTCTGTGCTGTTAGGATGGTTTGGACAGGGCGTTTTCATCGCCGCCCATTTCTTTGAAGAAGCATACGTTTTAATGCCCGTAGCAGTTATAGTAGGTATAGGTAAGACATATTTTGTCGAATATTTGTATTCATTTTATGGTGTATTTTCATGCTGTTGACATTATGACTAAGGTGGTTACTTTTATCAGTCAAAATACAGGACGTGCAGGTTTTAGTTGCTCGGCGGCGCTTCGTGCAATTTATACTGCCTTATTGTCGGCTTCTGAAGATACGACCACACATACATACATTCATACATACATTCATACATGAACCACACACTATTTAACCCTCTTCTCAGAAGCAGAGCTTGTGCAGCTTATCGAATGAACTGCACTCTGGTACAAAATACACCGCTTCGGTCATATGTGGTTTATTTGCTTTTACAGTTAAGCATGCAGTGTACAACGTACTATGTTCTATTTGATAAATCATGTTACACACGTGGCTGAAATAATGATAATTATTATGAACTTATCTAAGTACCAAATACCTGTTTACGATATATGTAAGAACAAAAGCCCTGACAGACAGACAGACAGACAGACAGTCAGGCATTTTCTCTCTCTCTCCCCCTCACACCGAAAGAAACAAATACTCGGAGCACGTGTGTTAAATTTGGATTGTGATAGAATTACCCATCGGTTCACCCACACGGTTCTTTAAACCAAGTAAACACTAATCAAATAGCACAGCTTACAACGTCACAGTATTCATGGATAAAGCTTACCATAATTCTGCACTTCGTGGTCTGTACTAGTTTGTTGAACGCTCGGAAGTTGACTCCATGCAGTTCTTCACAAAATACCGAAATAATTAATGCAGGTTGTAGAACATGAATTTATATCCTGCCCACTTCAGTCTTTTGCTGTTGGAAAAATAAGTATATAAGTGAACGCTTGTATTATTGCAATTGTACATTTTGACCGTTTCCATTTCAATTTCCGTTTCATCTAACACCACACAGTGTTGTTTAACCATTTCAGCGCATGCTCAGGCCATCGTGACCACGGGGGTCTTCGTCACCGACCTGGCCTTGCAATACTCGGCCATCACCGGGCAGAACCAGCACGATATCCTGGGCCTCTTTAATGGTATCTACTGCATGCTGTACTACCTCTGTGGCGTCTGGAGCAACCTGATCTCATCCCTGGTGCTGTACCAGTCCGAGACGACCGGGAACACCACCGTTGCCAAGGAGAACTTGAGCGAGCTCTGTGGAGCCGCATTTTGCCCATGGGAGGACGTGTCTGGAACTTACATCACCCAGCCCGAGCAAAGCATCGTCTATATTCTACTGGGTTCCTTTCTCGGTATGAGCGCGTTCGCTTTCATCGTCACTTTGGTGTTTTTAGAAAACGTGCACCCGACTTCGGGAGACAATATCCACAGCATTAAGGAATTCTTCTCCACCGTCGTCAGGTTAGTATGGAAGAAAAGGATGTTGCTGATCTTGCCAGCCATTGTATTCTACATCGTGGGGCAAGTTTTTATTAGCACGGAGTACACAAAGGTAAGGGATCCGTCTTCGTTCAGTACTTTTCATATTATATAGAAAAATTATTTGCGAAAATTGGACTACGTATTGCATGAAGTTTAGCGTGGGTAGTTTCATTGGAGGTTCCAGGATTTCGGATTGAGAGAGAGAAAGAGGGAGAGAGAGATAATCTGGCTTTATGAAAGGCATTATATTCGATATAACGTTAATAGATATTAATATACATTAAAAGGATCGAGTTCCTACATCTGCAGTATGTAGATAATAGTAAAATTGTGATCGAGTTAAGAGTGTCAGCTGTAATGGGGGTAAAACGTCTACATGTTTATTTCTGAAATTGTAAGTAAAAATGATGTAGTTTAACCTTTGATCAAATATTTTAACTATTAAAATAGTTATTGTGCGTGTATAAGTTAAANTTCCAATACTCTTGATATTCCTTTTTTTTCGAACATTTCAGTACCACTAGTCTTTATTCGTTAAGCATTGTCGATAATATTTTGCAATATTATAAATGAGACTAACTTCATGAGCAAACGTTATACAGATATATGGACACAAAACATATCAAGTTTACCCCGAGCAGTAAACTTTTTGAAAACCATTAATTTACCATTACGGGTAGATGTATTGATACGACTTGAAGACTTCGTTTAAAACCTGCAGTGAATCTATATTCTAAAATTAATTTTTTATTTAATTTCTGCCAATAAGAATTTAAAAATAAAAAAGATCCTTTTTATAATATAGAGTTCATTGTAGATAAAAATCCTGGTTTATCAGTTATTCGAACAAATCTGAATTCAAAAACACTTTTTATTGAGACATCCTTTTCATATTTTGGAAAATGGAGGAACATAGGAGCATGATGGTGGAAGATTATTACAGAATTTAATTTTCATCTGAATCAAAAATGTCAACTTCATACAGAACAGCTTTTTTCAGTCCTGAAATTACCTAAAGTCTTCAAAGTGCGGAGTGTCAGATCACTGCAAATAACCCATATATAAATTGAATTATTTTTATAAAGAAAATAATAATTTATAAACAAACCTTATTATTTCTTACTCATTATTGGGTTGACGAAGAAGTGCCATTATTTTTCTGTATTCTAAAATCACAGATCATTACTCATTTTGGAATGTACGCTGTAAATCTTTATCTAAAAAAAAAAAAAAAAACTTCTGCAGAAATATCGGTTCCTGTTGACAGCTGACGTATCCCCAACTTCTTATCCCATACCGCATTTTCCATTTACCCGGTCTGATAGAGAGGGAAAGAGAATAAATAAATAAATAAATAAATAAATAAATGGGTAAGGGACAAAGCGAAATATATATTTTTTATCCATTTACATGTGTCCTAAATCATATAGCAACTGTGCTTTCGTCTACTATGTTATAAATTCAAGCGAAATAAGGCCAGCATTTGTACCCAGTTCCTCACACCTCACAATGAGTAACATCAGTCTAATTAGTCTGCGTGATATAAAAGACACCTCACAAATAATTAATATGGCTTAGTTAAAATTGCTAAAATCAGTTAGCCGACTACGGTACTCAGTCCATTCGTACTATCACGATCTCGAGCTCCCGATCTCAAATTTATCTCTACACATTGCCTCGAGCCAGTTGTTGACACAGACTGCAGATTAAATATATCTGACGGTCAACAAGTGGCACAGATTGCAGATTAAATATATCTGATGGTCAACAAGTACCCTTGATGTCAGAGTGGCGTGGGATGTTTCGACGCACCGATCACGAGACGCCAACGGCAGATATAAAACAAAAAAAAAAAATGTGTACGTATGTCATCCATACTTAACGATCTCCTATAGTTTATTACCTTTTACCTGGGTTTATGACCACTTGCATTGCACAGTCACATACCGACCAGAAATAATGAGATGTTGTATCTTAGACAATACTAACCAAAAAGGCACAGCCCAGTAGGTCGAAGAACAGCACAAAGTGAGTAGAATATGACTATAGGCTTAGACTGTGGAGTTTAACTAGATGCACACGGACAGTGAAGTAAGACACTTCTTGTTGGCTAGCAGAGAGGAAAGGCTAACTCTTTACAGAAAAAAAGTATTTTTCAAATATTCTCTGGAAATTAATAAATAGGAGGGGTTAACCACTGTTCCTGATGATAACGACGTGTGTATACAAAGGTGATATCGAACTTTTTGTGACTTCACGTGGCTGACATCTCGTTAAACTGAACGATGGTATTGGGTGCAAGATAACAAAACAACCTTCAGGTAACTGCGGACGTCTTGGTTTAAATTATTGGTTTACGCCACCTAGCATTTGGCTTACAAAAAGCAGAATTATTTTTAAAAAGGTTTTCATAAATAAAAGGCGACAGCTACGCACAAGTAAAAATATAAAATTTGCAATGTCTGTCACAGATAACTGTGCAGATGAGAAAGGCAGTGCGATCCCTCTTCTCCTTGTACAGCCAGGGGAGTCTCACAGAAGCAAATGGAAACCCGTCTCTCAACTAGTAATCCTAGCCCTCGTCTACATGATCGGGTACTCGCCATTCTACACAATGTGGAACTGAGAAGGAATTCTGTTTCCAGAGTACGGCTACTACGCTTTGATGTGCACGTACCTTGGCACTTTCCTCATCTTCTTAGTGGGACCATTCCTCACTCGGAAACTTGGATCGAAGGGGTCTATTATGTTAGGTTGGGTCGCTCAGGCGATTTACACTGCAGCTCATTTCTATGTTCATCGATATGCCCTGTACGCCGTATGCTTCTTCTTCGGCACCGGTAGGTTTAACTTTTGTTTGTTCGTGTGTTTCAGTGAGCATCTTGTTTCCTTTTTACACTTTAATTTCTATCTACACACACGGGCAATAGAAGTGTCACCCCTACTGAACCAATACTTTGGGGGAGATAAATGACTGTGGGATGATATGCTCCTGGTATCATTTTATTAACATCAACTTTCACAAAAAGACCAACAATACATTTCCATGGTACAGCGGTTTTATAATCATTAGTCACATTATAATTAAACCAGGGCCCCGTATCCCGAAAGCATCACGTATTGCGAATAGCGATATGACACAGGGGCTACAACGTATTATATGGGGCGAGTATGGGCGACTTATGGAATCGAGACGCTTGCGCACGGTCGCAATGCGCGATGCTTTCGAGATACGGGGCCCAGGCAATATAACTTAAATTACTCTGATTCAGGGGGTGACACCCCTTTTGTCCAGAGTGTGTATTTGTATTATTCTATTTATCAATCACGGTTAATGTAAAACAGGTTGTTTATATTTGCCTTTTACTAACAGTTTTTATAATTTGTATTTATCAATCATTTTCCCTCTTTTTCTTTTCAACTTGCTCTCTCGTCTTTGTCGAGTTGGAAAGAAGGAGTAGCAGTCCGTATTAAAACTATAAATACAATTATTATTATTATTATTATTATTATTATTATTATTATTATTATATATGGTATTCATAGTGAAATGAGATATTTTAAACACTACATGTGCCAAACACGTTTTAAAACCCAATCACAAACCTATATTTTAATTGTCGGAAAAAGTTTGCCTGCTCTGCCTTGAAATGAGAAATTAACAACAGTGAAGTACCTCTCGTTACCTTATACAGCATTTAAAGTAGATCAAACTAAAAGAAGCACTCAGAAAGCAAAGACCAACGCCATGGATCCCACACTAAAAGGAAGTGGAAGTTGACAGGATATCCATTGCATTAATAATAATAATAATAGCTACCAAAAAATGGATGGTGCTTTTATTATACTGAGAAAACACTCTTAGAAAAACATAAGATAAATAAAAGACTACGTACTTCTGTTTGTTTACATGTATCATTTTTAAGTGAGTTCATTTCTCAGTGACCTGAATTTATCCAGAAAAGTTTATCATATCCAACCATAGATTTCTGAATTAGGATGGTGACAAACAAGAAAAAACAAACGAACAACGGAGGTGAAAACGTAACATTCGAGCGTCGGTTATTATCATTATCTTTTTTAATCATAAAAATATTAATTGTTTAAGAAGTTTCTTTAAAAAAATTTACATACCACGCGATATTGATATGTGACAATAACGTGATATATATTTTTTTCTTTCAGCCCATGTCCAAACTATGATATCAACTGGCGTGTATGTGACACACCTGGCCATGGACTATGCTGATATTACCCACGACACACCCCATCACGCCTTGGGGCTTTTTCAGGGCGTTTTCTTCACCGTATACCTTCTCAGCGGCGTCTGGGGAAACCTGGTTTCATCTCTAGTGTTGGTCAAACCGGTCGAGTTCGATGCCAATACCAACATTCCAAACTTTAAAAATCTGTCGAGTTTGTGTGGACCTAATTTTTGTCATTCCGAAGACACCAGCGGCACCTACATACGGCAACCAGACCAGATCACAGTGTATATAATATTGGGATCCTTCATTGGGATGTCGACGTTCGCGTTTATTGCAACATGGGCGTTCTTAGAAAATGTTGCGGCTAAGAGTGGAGACGCTGTCCAAAGCGTTAAGGAATTTGGTGCCAAGATCGTTGGTCTGCTGTGGTACAAGAAGATGCTCCTTCTTCTACCTGCTATCTTCATGGACAGCGTCAGCCACTATTTTATAAGCACAGAGTTCACCAAGGTACACGTAACGGAGACGTTATGATATCAGAATCATTCCTTTCATTTGCTGTCTAATAAATACAAAAAAACTTTTTCCTCTTTTTATACGACGGAAATTGCGGGTTTTGATTACCAAAATAAATTAGGTGATTTTTTGCATTTAACATTATTATTATTATTATTGTTATTTGTTGCTTTTTCCTCGTTAGGATATTGACGCCAACGGCCTAAAATAAAATGTAACAACTTGGTTATTTATTTCAGGCTTTTGTCAGCTGCCAACTGGGCATAGAATACAATGGTTGGTCCATCATCTGTTTTGCCACAGGAGACGTTCTTGGTTCTATGGTCAATGGCCGACTGGTGAAATACGTCGGCATGGGGTTCCTTTTCTTTGTAGCTTCTGCTACAGATTTTGCCTGCCTATTCAGTATGCTGTTTTTTCACTTTTCGAGGGAAACGGTGGAGTTTTTCTTTCTGGTGCCATTTTTCTGGGGTCTTGCAGATTCTGTATGGGCCGTGCAGACGACAGGTGCGTTTCCTTAAACACGTACCGCCAACTGCACATTTAAACAAAATATACAGTTTTAATAACCACCAAGACCCTCTTAAGTCATCTAGCACAAACACCCCCACACACACACACACACATTCTTTATTTCTTTAGAATAGTTTTAGTGGTCTCTTGGCTGGAGCATAAATTTGGGTCATGAGGAACATTTCTGAATAACGCGGGTAAAAATCGGTGACACGTGACAAGACAACGAACTCGGGATTGCTGATGTTGAATTTCTATGTAGCAAGGGAGAATATGAATCTTAGTCTTTTATTTAAACAAAGCAAAAGTTAGATGAAACAAAACCAAAGTTTCCTTTGAATATCAGCTCATCTCCAATTACTATCAGAATACATTTAGTGTTCAATAATTTTTTGCAAATGTTGAGGTTTAGAATAACGTTTTCAAATAAAATCTTATCCATTTCGCCAAAAGTCATTTTTGTTTTAAAATCTGTTCTTCTGTTTATATATATATATATATATATATATATATATATATATATATATATATATATATATATATATAACATTGCCTTTTTACTTTTATATCTAATCACAAACGTATATTTTCCAGCTTACATCGGAAAGATATTCCCGGACGAGAAGTGGCCAGCGTTCTTTATCCAGCGCAGCTCCATGTATAACGCCATGATCTACACCGTTATGGGAATAATAACCTCTGGACTGGTCTGCCTGACGGCCTTCGAGCCCTTCATTGGCACGGGAAGAAACACTATACATCTATATAGTGGACTCTGACTCAGGGTAGGGAGGGGGAGGAGGGGAGGGGGTTAATCTGTTGGCATAGTTCATTTAATTTCATTTCTCATTGGTATTCTGTATTAATTTTTTTTCATTCACAAAGATATCCGTGGCCGCGGGGATGGAATTCGGCTGCATCTTCAGTATGCCTTTCTTTCACACCTCACGAAGTACGCCCGAATTCTTCTTCATAGTGCCGTTTATATGGGGTCTAGGTGACTCAGTGTGAAAAGTGCAAACTTTAGGCAATTTCTTCAGCCAATTTATTAATTCCTTCGTTTATCTGTTTTTTTTTTTTAATTTATGCATATTTGTCTATCAATGAAGTAAGATATTTTTATTCAGATTTATGCATTTATTTATTTATTTTACATTTTGCAGCAATAATTGAACCAACTGTACGTATCTTTTACACCGTCAGTAAACAGACGAAGAGAATGATAGTTTCAGTCTAAAATCTTATTCCAAAGTCACTGACATCTTATTCCAAACTATCAATATTATCATCATTTTTTATTATTATTATTTTAGAGCCTACGTAGGGCACGTGTTTTCTGACGAGAAATGGCCGTCCTTCGTGATTCTTCGAAGGTCTTTGTTCACTGCCAACAGTTTGGTATTTGGTTTCTATGGGATCGTCCGCTTGGTGGTCAAAACATACGTCGTGTGTGGAATTCTTGCTCTGGCTCTCGTTTCCGTAGCAATATTTGCTAGTCTCAGACGCTGGGAAAGTAATAGCAGGACTGATAAATATATTAAATATTAAGCTAACTTTGAAAATTCCAATACTCTTGATATTTCATTTTATTTCACTACCACTAGTCTTTATTCGTTTAACATTGTCGACAATATTTGGCAATATCATAAATGAGACGAACTTATTGGGCAAACATTATACATATACAGGGTACTAGTGCATAAAGACAAACTCATCAAATTTAATCCGAAAAAAAAAAGACTTTAAGGAAACCATTGACTGGTAGGTGTATCGATGTGACTTCAATACTTCATTTAATGCCGGCGGTGAATCTACATGTATATTCTAAAACATACCAATATTCTAATTTAAAATGCGGTAATAAAAATAAGAAAATAAAAAATATGGCTGAAATTTTGGATATTTTGAAGTTTATTATAATAAAAATCCTGGTTGATAGTTATTTAAACAAAACTTAAGCCCAAAATACTTTCTATTGGGATATCTTTCTATTGGAGATTATTTCAGGTTTAAATCTCCATCTGTATAACTTCAACTTTATACAAAACAGCTTTTTTTTTCATTCAGAGTCACGAAATTAGCTAAAGTCTTCAGAGTGCAGATTGTAAGTGAAGTGCAAATATGCTACATATAAATTGTTTGAATTATTTTATAAAGAAAATTATAAATTTACAAAACAAATATTATTCAAAAACAAAATTGGGTTGACGTAGGGCTGTCATTATTCTTCTGTATTCTGCAATCATAGATCGTAATCCATTTTGGAAAATTAGAACGTAAACCCTTATCTCAACAACCTTGTGCAGAAATATCGGTTCCGGTTGACTGCTGACACCATGGCGAATATGGGTGGGCAAGGGGCTTGGGAGGGGCAGAGTTTGAGACGTATCCCCAACTCCTTCTCGTCGGAGATACCCCTTTCCATTTTCCACTCTGAAATGGAAATTAGAATAAATAAATCGGTGAGAGACAAAATCAAACAATATTGTCATCCATCATATAGCAACATTGCTCTCGTCTACTATGTTATATAATTCAAGGGAAATAAGGCCAGCATTTGTACCAAATGCTAATATTAATCTTATCAGTCAGTAAGATATAAAAGACACCTCACAAATAATTTATATGGCTTAGTTTAAAGTGTTATAAAATAAGTTAGCCAACTACGGAACTCTCAGTCCATTCGGACTATCACGAGCTCTCGTGTTTATCTCGATACTGCCTCGTGCCATTTGTTGACACAGAAACCGCTTGATTGCAGATTAAATATTTCTAATGGTCAACAAGCACCCATGATGTCAGAGTGACATGGGATGTTTTGTCGCATAGATCACGAGAGCCGAACGTCAAGCCATTTTACCAGTCTCCAAGCGGAGTCGTGATAAGGCTAAGGGGGGGGGGGGGGCAAACACAACAATACAACAATTGTCAAGTTGTCAAGGGAAGTACAGGTATGGCAAATATAAACAAACTGTGTACATAAGTCATCCACTCGCACTTTTTAACGATTTTTTAAAAATCTTCTATAGTTTATTATCTTATTACCTTACTTTATGATCACTTGCAAAATCACATACCGACAAAATCAAAAATTATAATGAGATGTTGCATCTTAGACAATATTAACCAATAAAAAGGACAGTCCCTTGGGAACACCGAAAAATAGCACGCTGTGAGTAGAATACGACTAGAGGCTTACATACACACGGAAGGACAAATAAAAGACCATTCCCAGAGAGTATCGTACTAACTTTGGATCGAACTATCTCCGAGGGGATTCTCGCTTAATTGCAATAAACTTGGGGGACTTAGATGTCTGTCACGCCTGCTGAGGCTGATAGAGGGTAATCAACTATCGTATAGCAGCTTCAGTGGACGCCCCAGACATTTAAACCGATTGGGTTAAAAGCAATTCAGAACACAGTCTTAGATACTTCCTATCAACTAGCAGAAAGGAACAGGCTAACACTTCATAGAAAAAAGTATTACTCAAATATTTCTCGGGAAATGAATAATTAAATAGGAGGGGGGTACCCACTGTCCCTGCTGATAACGACCCTGTGTGTCTCTGATTTCAAGACCCCAGACTGATAAGCATTTCCGGTATTTACCAGTCCAGCCTGTTACTAGAGCGATAGTTCTTTTTTTTTTTTTTTTGGCTTCATTGAATTAGGGGTAAACATTTTGTTAAGCTGAGCGATGACATGGGACATTAGGCATTTTTCAGTGACGCTATCATTTGATCAAGACAAGAAAACAACTTTATTAACGCAGACGTCTTGCATTGACCAAGTTGACTCAGTTGTAAAACTAAAAAAAGGAAGGGATATCTTTATCGAAGTTTTCGGATAGAAATATTTCAGCTATAGTTGGTGACACTAACATTGCAATGCCGCTCAGTGGCGGTGAAGATATGTCTGCACAAAATGCGGCAGCGAAAAGAAGCTAAGTCGATGGATTAAGTAGGAAAGCACCTGGGCTCACGAAAGTATTGCCCACATGGCGTGGCTTTAAAGATATCCAGGGAGAGTTGCCCCGTGTTGTCTCTGATTGGAACACCCCAGGCACCCCGTCTGATAAGTACCAGTGCAGTATTTACCCATTCAGTCGGTGCTATCAAACTTTTTGGTCGATTCACGTGACTGACATCCCCTTAAACTGACCGATGGCATTGGGTGCAAGACAACAAAACAACCTCCAGGTCATTGCAGACGTCTTGGTTTAAACAGCTGGTTTACGCCACTTAGCAGTGGAACTACAATAGGCGGAGTTATTTTTAAAAAAAAGTTTTCACACTAGTCTTCGGCTACTCAAAAGTCAAAATATAAGATTCGCGATGCCTCTCAAGGATAACTGTGCACATGAGGACAGCAATCTTCTACTAACACAGCCAGGGAAGACTCACAGGAGCAAATGGAAACCCGTCTCACAGCTAGTAATCCTAGCCCTCGTGTACATGATCGGGTACTCGCCATTCAACACAATGTGGAACCTCGAAGGAATTCTGTTTCCAGAGTACGGCTACTACGCTTTGATGTGCACGTACCTTGGCTCTTTCCTTGTCTTCTTAATTGGACCATTCCTCACTCGGAAACTTGGATCGAAGGGGTCTATTATGTTAGGTTGGGTCGCTCAGGCGGTGTACATTGCAGCTCATTTCTATGTTCAGCAGTATGTCCTGTACGCCGTATGCTTCCTCTTCGGCACCGGTAGGTTTAACTTTGGTTGCCGTTTTGTTGTTTGTTTACTGGGTAGTTTGCTTCCTTGTTAACTTTTCTGTTAATTGATGTTATGCTATTTATCGGTCACTTTTAATGCAACCAGGTTGTTTATTTTTGCCCTTTACTACCGGTTTTTATTATTTATATTTATCAATCAGTTTATTTTTCGTTTACTTTTAACCTTACTCTTTTTCTTTTTTATATTGTCGGGAATAAGGGGGGGCAGGATGTTTTAAAACTATCGATATAAATATTATTATCATCAATAATTCTATATACCGTCTTGACGCAGTGAAATGAGATGTTTCAAACACTACATGTTATAAAACCTAATCACAAACCTATATCTTACATGTAATTGTCAGACAAAGTTTACTTCCTATGCCTTGAAATGAGAAATTAGCAACAGTTAAAAACATATAAGATATTTAAATATTTTCTAAAATACATATCAAAATATGTTTTCAAGAACTGTAGTAGATTTGATTTTTCTTATATATATTTGATATAATCATTAACTTACCTAAGTTAATGGTGCCTTATATATATATATATATATATATATATATATATATATATATATATATATATATATATATATATATATATATTTTTTTTTTTTTTTGTACTTTAAAAGTAAGCTACTTTCTGAGTGACCTATCCAGAAAAGTTCAAAGCTTTCTGAGTTAGAATGGTGACAAACATGCAAAATTCAACCAAACACACGGGGGTGAAAATAACCTTCATGCGAGGGTTGCTAATGCATAAAAAGGGAAAAGATTGAGAAAAAGGAATTTAAAATATTTAGAAATATTTAAAATATTAATTATTTAAAAAGGTTGTTATAAAATGTACATACCACGCGATATTGATATGTGATAATAACGTATTTTTTTTCAGCCCATGTCCAAACAATGGTCTCAACTGGCGTGTATGTGACACATCTGGCCATGGACTATGCCGATATTACCCACGACACACCCCATCACGCCTTGGGTCTTTTCCAGGGCGTTTTCTTCACCTTATACCTTCTCAGCGGCGTCTGGGGAAACCTGGTTTCATCTCTAGTTTTGGTCAAACCTATCGAGTTCGATGCCAATTCCACCACTCCAAACTCAAAAAATCTGTCCAGTTTGTGTGGACCTAATTTCTGCCATTTTGAAGACACCAGCGGCACCTACATACGGCAACCAGACCAGTTCACAGTGTATATAATATTGGGTTCCTTCATCGGGATGTCGGCGTTCGCGTTTATTGCAACATGGGCCTTCTTAGAGAATGCTGCGGCTAAGAGTGGAGACGCTGTCCAAAGCGTTAAGGAGTTTGGTGCCAAGATTATTGGTCTGCTGTGGTACAAGAAGATAATCCTTCTTCTGCCTGCTATCTTCATGGACAGTGTCAGCCACTATTTTATAAGCACAGAGTTCACCAAGGTACACGTACGGAGACGTTATGATAATAGAATCATTCCTATCATATGCTGTCTAATGCATCCAAAAAACCTTTTTCCTTTTTTATACGACGGAAATTGCGGGTTTTGATTACCAAAATAAATTAGGTTATTTTTGCATTTAACATGTTTATTATTATTATTATTATTATTATTATTATTATTATTATTTGTTGCTTTTTCCTCGTTAGGATATTGACACCAACGGCCTAAAATAAAATGTAAAAACTTGGTTATTTATTTCAGGCTTTTGTCAGCTGTGAACTGGGCATAGAATACAATGGTTGGTCCATCATCTGTTTTGCTGCAGGAGACGTTCTTGGTTCTATATGGTCAATGGCCGACTGGTGAAATACGTCGGCATGGGGTTCCTTTTCCTTGTAGCTGGCGCTACAGACTTTGCCTGCTTATTCAGCATGCTGTTTTTTCCCTTTTCGAGGGAAACGGTGGAGTTTTTCTTTCTGGTGCCATTTTTCTGGGGTCTTGCAGATTCTGTATGGGCCGTGCAGACGACAGGTGCGTTTCCTTAAAGACGTACCGCAAACTGCACATTTAAACAAAATATACAGTTTTAATAACCGCCAAGACCCTCTTAAGTCATCTAGCACACACACACACACACACACACACACACACACACTCTTTATCTCTTTAGAATAGTTTTAGTGGTCTCTTGGATGGAGCATAAATTTGGCGCATGAGGAACATTTCTTAAAAACGCGGGTGAAAATCGGTGAAACCTGATTCAAGACAAGACAACGATCTCGGGATTGCTGATGTTGAATTTCTATGTAGCAACGGAGAATATGAATCTTAGTCTTTTATTTAAACAAAGCAAAAGTTAGATGAAACAAAACCAAAGTTTCCTTTGAATATTAGGTCATCTTGAATTACTGTCAGAAGACATGTAGTGATCAATAATTTTGCATATGTTGAGGTATAGAATAACGTTTTCAAATAAAATCTTATCCATTTCGCCAAAAGTCCTTTTTGTTTTTAAATGTGTTCTTATATATATATATATATATATATATATATATATATATATATATATATATATATATATATAACATTGCCTTTTTACTTTTATATCTAATCACAAACGTATATTTTCCAGCTTACATCGGAAAGATATTCCCGGACGAGAAGTGGCCAGCGTTCTTTATCCAGCGCAGCTCCATGTATACCCTTACTGCTCTCCTCCTCGCTGTCACCACCTTCATATGTATTAACGCCATGATCTACACCGTTATGGGAATAATAACCTCTGGACTGCTCTGCCTGACGGCCTTCGAGCTCCTGCATTGGCACGGAAGAAACACTATACATCTATATAGTGGACTCTGACTCAGGGTGGGGAGGGGGGTGAGGGGAAGGGGTTAATCTGTTGGCATAGTTCATTTAATTTCATTTCTCATTGGTTTCCTTATTAATTTTTTTTTTCATTCACAAAGATATCCGTGGCCGCGGGGGCAGAATTCGGCTGCATCTTCAGCATGCCTTTCTTTGACACCTCACGAAGTACGCCCGAATTCTTCTTCATAGTGCCGTTTATATGGGTTCTGGGTGACTCGGTGTGGATAGTACAAACTTTAGGTAATTTTTCAGCCAATTTATTAATTCCTTCGTTTATCTGTTTGTTTAATTGATGCATATTTGTTAGATATTTTTATTCAGTTTTATGCATTTATTTATTTATTTTACATTTTGCAGCAATAATTGAACCAAATGTACGTATCTTTTACACCTTCAGTAAACAGACGTAGAGAATGATAGTTTCAGTCTAAAATCTTATTCCAAAAACACTGACATCTTATTCCAAACTATCAATATTATCATCATTTTTATTATTATTATTTTAGAGCCTACGTATGGCACGTGTTTTCTGACAAGAAATAGCCGTCCTTCGTGATTCTTCGAGGGTCTTTGTTCACTGCCAACACTTTGGTATTTGGTTTCTATGGGATAGTCCGCTTGGTGGTCAAAACATACGTCGTGTGTGTGTAATTCTTGCTCTGGCTCTCGTTTCCGTAGCAATATTAGTCTCAGACGCTGGGAAAGTAATAGCAGGACTGATAAATATATTAAATATTGAGCTAACTTTGAAAATTCCAGTACTCTTGATATTTCATTTTTCAGTACCACTAGTCTTTATTCGTTTAACATTGTCGACAATATTTTGCAATATCATAAATGAGACGAACTTACTGGGCAAACATTATACAGATACAGGGTACTAGTGCATAAAGACAAAACTTATCAAATTTAAAACGAGAAAAAGACTTTATGGAAACCATTGACTGGTAGGTGTATCGATGTGACTTCAATACTTCATTTAATGCCTGCGGTGAATCTATATTCTAAAACTTACCAATATTCTAATTTAAAATGCGGTAATAAAAATACGAAAATAAAAAATATGGCTGAAATTTTGGATATTTTGAAGTTTATTATAATAAAAACCCTGGTTGATAGTTATTTAAACAAAACTTAAGCCCAAAACACTTTCTATTGGGATATCTTTCTATTGGAGATTATTTCAGGTTTAAATCTCCATCTGTATAACTTCAACTTTATACAAAACAGTTTTTTTTTCATTCAGAGTCACGAAATTAGCTAAAGTCTTCAGAGTGCAGATTGTAAGTGAAGTGCAAATATACTACATATAAATTGTTTGAACTATTTTATAAAGAAAATTATAAATTTACAAAACAAATATTATTCAAAAACAAAATTGGGTCGACGTAGGGCTGTCATTATTCTTCTGTATTCTGCAATCATAGATCGTAATCCATTTTGGAAAATTAGAACGTAAACCCTTATCTAAACAACCTTGTGCAGAAATATCGGTTCCGGTTGACTGCTGACACCATGGCGAATATGGGTGGGCAAGGGGCTTGGGAGGGGCAGAGTTTGAGACGTATCCCCAACTCCTTCTCGTCGGAGATACCCCTTTCCATTTTCCACTCTGAAATGGAAATAAGAATAAATAAATCGGTGAGAGACAAAACCAAACAGTATTGTCATCCATCATATAGCAACATTTCTCTCGTCTACTATGTTATATAATTCAAGGGAAATAATGCCAGCATTTGTACCCAATGCTAATATCAGTCTTATCAGTCAGTAAGATATAAAAGACACCTCACAAATAATTTATATGACTTAGTTTAAAGTGTTATAAAATAAGTTAGCCGACTACGGAACTCTCAGTCCATTCAGACTATCACGAGCTCTCGTGTTTATCTCGATACTGCCTCGTGCCATTTGTTGACACAGAAACCGCTTGATTGCAGATTAAATATTTCTGATGGTCAACAAGCACCCATGATGTCAGAGTGACATGGGATGATGTACATAAGTCATCCACTCGTACTTTTTAATGATTTTTTAAAAATCTTCTATAGTTTATTATCTTATTACCTTACTTTATGATCACTTGCAAAATCACATACCGACAAAATCAAAAATTATAATGAGATGTTGCATCTTAGACAATATTAACCAATAAAAAGGACAGTCCCTTGGGAACACCGAAAAATTGCACGCTGTGAGTAGAATACGACTAGAGGCTTAGCTACACACGGAAGGACAATTAAAAGACCATTCCCAGAGAGTATCGTACTAACTTTGGATCGAACTATCTCCGAGGGGATTCTCGCTTAATTGCAATAAACTTGGGGGACTTAGATGTCTGTCACGCCTGCTGAGGCTGATAGGGGGTAATCAACTATCGTATAGCAGCTTCAGTGGACGCCCCAGACATTTAAACCGATTGGGTTAAAAGCAATTCAGAACACAGTCTTAGATACATCCTATCAACTAGCAGAAAGGAACAGGCTAAAACTTCATAGAAAAAAGTATTACTCAAATATTTCTCGGGAAATGAATAATTAAATAGGAGGGGGGTACCCACTGTCCCTGCTGATAACGACCCTGTGTGTCTCTGATTTCAAGACCCCAGACTGATAAGCATTTCCGGTATTTACCAGTCCAGCCTGTTACTAGAGCGAAAGTACTTTTTTTTGGCTTCATTGAATTAAGGGTAAACATTTTATTAAGCTGAGCGATGACATGGGACATCAGGCATTTTTCAGTGACGCTATCATTTGACCAAGACAAGGAAACAACTTTATTAACGCAGACGTCTTGCTTTGATCAAGATGACTCAGTTGTAAAACTAAAAAAAACGAGTAATATCTTTCACGAAATTTTCAGATAGAAAAGGCTTCAGCTGCAGTTGGTGACACTAACATTGCAATGCCGCTCAGTGGCGGTGAGGATATGTCTGCACACAAATGCGGCAGTGAACAAAAGCTAAGACCCCATGTCCAGAGATTAGATCGATTTACTTTAGATCGACCTAACTCCCTGGGGGTTCACGCTAAATAGCTGTCAGCCGAGCGGACACGAAAGTTAATTACCCCCTTACCGCTTGTAGTAGGCAGGACGGACATTTAAGCCGGATTATCTGACAGTAATCTAGTCAGACTCCCCGCGGGGATAGATCGATCTAAAAGCTCTGGGAATACAGCCTAAGTCGATGGATTAAGTAGGAAAGCACCCGGGCTCCCAAAAGTATTGCCCACATGGCGTGGCTTTAAAGATATCCAGGGAGAGTTGCCCCGTCTTGTCTCTGATTGGAACACCCCAGGCACCCCGTCTGATAAGTACCGGTGCAGTATTTACCCATTCAGTCGGTGCTATCAAACTTTTTGGTCGATTCACGTGGCTGACATCTCCTTAAACTGACCGATGGCATTGGGTGCAAGATAACAAAACAAACTCCAGGTCATTGCAGACGTCTTGGTTTAAACAGGTGGTTTACGTCACTTAGCAGTGGAACTACAATAGGCGGAGTTCTTTTAAAAAAAGTTTTCACACTAGTCTTCGGCTACTCAAAAGTCAAAATATAAGATTCGCGATGCCTCTCAAGGATAACTGTGCACATGAGGACAGCAATCTTCTACTAACACAGCCAGGGAAGACTCACAGGAGCAAATGGAAACCCGTCTCTCAGCTAGTAATCCTAGCCCTCGTCTACATGATCGGGTACTCGCCATTCAACACAATGTGGAACCTCGAAGGAATTCTGTTTCCAGAGTACGGCTACTACGCTTTGATGTGCACGTACCTTGGCTCTTTCCTCGTCTTCTTAATTGGACCATTCCTCACTCGGAAACTTGGATCGAAGGGGTCTATTATGTTAGGTTGGGTCGCTCAGGCGGTGTACATTGCAGCTCATTTCTATGTTCAGCAGTATGTCCTGTACGCCGTATGCTTCCTCTTCGGCACCGGTAGGTTTAACTTTGGTTGCTGTTTTGTTGTTTGTTTACTGGGTAGTTTGCTTCCTTGTTACACTTTTCTGTTAATTGATGTATGCTCTTTATCGGTCACTTTTAATGCAACCAGGTTGTTTATTTGCCCTTTACTACCAGTTTTTATTATTTATATTTACATGTATCAATCAGTTTTTTTTTCGTTTACTTTTAACCTTACTCTTTTTCGTTTTTATATTGTCGGGAATAAGGGGGGAGGGGGGCAGGATGTTTTAAAACTATCGATATATATATAATTATCATCAATTATTCTATATACCGTCTTGACGCAATGAAATGAGATGTTTCAAACACTACATGTGCAAATTACGTAATAAAACCTAATCACAAACCTATATCTTACATGTAATTGTCAGACAAAGTTTACTTCCTATGCCTTGAAATCAAAAATTAACAACAGTGAATTACCTCCCGTTAGCTGATAGTTCAATTACACCAAACTACAAAACAAGCACACAGAAAGCAAAGACCGAGGCCTAGGACCCCAGCACTCACAGGCGGTGGAATATAACAGGACTTCCATAAGCATTGCATTATTAATAATAATAATAATAATAATAATAATAATAATATATTTGCAATCAGAAGTTGGATGGTACATTTATGACACTGAAAAAATTAACAAATTTAAAAAACATATAATGTATTTAAATATTTTCTAAAATACATATTAAAATATGTTTTCAAGAACTGTAGTAGATTTGATTTTTCTTATATATACTTGAAATAATCATTAACTTACCTAAAAGTTAATGATGCCTTATTTATTTATTTATTTTTGTATGATTACTTTTAAAGTAAGCTTCTTTCTGAGTGACCTATCCAAAAAAGTTCAAAGCTTTCTGAGTTAGAATGGTGACAAACAGGCAAAATCCGACCAAACACACGGGGGTGAAAATAACCTTCAAGCGAGGGTTGCTAATGCATAAAAAGGGAAATGATTGAGATAAAGGAATTTATAATATTTAGAAATATTTAAAATATTAATTATTTAAGAAGGTTGTAATAAAATGTACATACCACGCGATATTGATATGTGATAATAACGTATTTTTTCTTTCAGCCCATGTCCAAACAATGGTCTCAACTGGCGTGTATGTGACACACCTGGCCATGGACTATGCCGATATAACCCACGACACACCCCATCACGCCTTGGGTCTTTTTCAGGGCGTTTTCTTTACCGTATACCTCCTCAGCGGCGTCTCGGGAAACCTGGTTTCTTCTCTAGTTTTGGTCAAACCGATCGAGTTCGATGGCAATACCACCACTCCAAACTCTAAAAATCTGTCCAGTTTGTGTGGACCTAATTTCTGCCATTTTGAAGACACCAGCGGGACCTACATACGGCAACCAGACCAGATCACAGTGTATATAATATTGGGTTCCTTCATCGGGATGTCGGCGTTCGCGTTTATTGCAACATGGGCCTTCTTAGAGAATGCTGCGGCTAAGAGTGGAGACGCTGTCCAAAGCGTTAAGGAGTTTGGTGCCAAGATTATTGGTCTGCTGTGGTACAAGAAGATGCTCCTTCTTCTGCCTGCTATCTTCTTATACTGCATCAGCCAGTATTTCATCAACACAGAGTTCACTAAGGTAGCGGAGATGAATTTGTGATAATAGAATTATTTCTATAATGTGCTGTTTAATGCATACAAAAAAACGTCTTTACTCTTTAATTTTTTTTTTTTTTTTTTTTTTTTTTTTGCAATTAAAATATATTTTTATTTTTCATATAGAATATAATCACTCTGTTATACATTCCAGGCTTTTGTCAGCTGTGAACTGGGCATAGAATACAATGGTTGGTCCATCATCTGTTTTGCTGCAGGAGACGTTCTTGGTTCTATGGTCAATGGCCGACTGGTGAAATACGTAGGCATGGGGTTCCTTTTCCTTGTAGCTGCATCTACAGACTTTGCCTGCCTTTTCAGTATGCTGTTTTTTCACTTTTCGAGGGAAACGGTGGAGTTTTTCTTTCTGGTGCCATTTTTCTGGGGTCTTGCAGATTCTGTATGGGCCGTGCAGACGACAGGTGCGTTTTCTTAAACACCTACCGTAAACTGCACATTTAAACAAAGCACATGGTTTTAGATACAACAGGGCAACTTAGGATTACGTTATTTATTTATTTATTTTTTTTTTAAGTAAAAGTTAGATGAAACAAAACCAAAGTTACCTTTGAATATCAGCTTTTGCATTGGTATACCAGGCATTAAGCGTTAAAAAATTTAACAAATGTTGAGGTATAATATATCGTTTTAAATAGATTTTTTTTTTTCATTTTGTCGACATGGAATTTAAATTTTAATATTTTTTTCGTTGTCTATTTTCCATAATTATACACACTTTTATTTGATATATGAACTTTGATATCAAATTACATATGTACATTTTACAGCTTACATTGGAAAGTTATTCCCGGATGAGAAGTGGCCGGCGTTCTTAATTCAGCGCAGCTCCATGTATGCTCTTAACGTGGTTCTTCTCGCCATTACCAACTTCATATGTCTGAACGCCATGATCTACACCGTTATGGGAATAATAACCTGTGGACTGGTCTGCTTGACGGCCTTCGAGCTCCTGCATCGGCACGGAAAGAAACACTATACAGCTATATAGTGGACTGTGGGTGGGGTGGGGGTGGGGGTAATCTGTTGGCATATTTCATTTTATTTCTTATTTTGCATTTTTAATATATTAATTTGTTTCATTCACAATGATATTCCAAGCTCTTTAAAACTATTGTCTTTGTTCTAAAAGACGTGTTGATTTTATTTATTTATTTTTTTTACAAAACATTTAAATTGAAAAACTGTGTGCCCTTTATATTTATTTATTTATTTATTTATTTATTTATTTATTTATTTATTTTATCTTTTTTTAAAGCGGTTTTGAATACTTTCTCCTTTTTTTCAACATTCGGCAGGTCTTATATTAATTTGAACTTACCTCTAATCAAGAATCTTTTATCAATAAACCTTGACTCTTTGTATTATTCAATCAAGATATCCTGCAGTTCAGTGTCTTATTCACTCCAGTCAAAAGCTGTTAAAGTACACGGTTATTACCTGTTGGCGTGAACATGAGGTTGGCTGCAAAAAAAAAGCCCTTCTAACATCATTAAAAAACTATTTTATGAACAATGCAATGCGATTGCAGCTCCATCTATTCCTGTATGCCTGTTGATATGTTCTGTATCGGCCGTTTAAAAACAATGGCTAATTTAAAATAAAGTATTAAGCATTTTGTACGAAATTTTGAAATGTCAATCTTATTACGTTATTTAATTTCCCTGCGAAGCATTTCATAACTGCAAAAATGTCAATTTATCTTTTATAGAAAAAAAAAAAAAAAAACAGAGTGTAACTCTTTTCTTCAAATGATTTCAACCTCATAACCAGCACATTTGTTCACTGTACAAATATAATGGCGCATTGGTCAATCAATAAAAAGTCGACTATGACGTCTGATTTATAAGAATTTAGGATCTCGCTTTGATCGAAGAGCTGAAAGCATCGATATGTTATGAAAATACACTCCATTAAAACAAACATGATAGTGTTTCATTGGCGTTAGACGTAAGGGTCACCTTTTAGTCATTGACAGCGCTGATTTCTAGGCCACTTCCACATGTTGCTATTATAAACCGCCATGCATGCTCCCTATCACATATTCCAGAAGGTTTTCCAGATAACTCATGTGGTATAAAAGTGATTTTGCGCATATCAAATAAACGGTTTTAACAGCAATTTGCAGAGCTTTTGTTGTTTTATGAGGACGGGTAATGCTTAAAAAGGAACAAATGAAGTCATGGTGTCGACATGTCTGAACAAGAAGGAGAAATATTAGTCAAGGTTGAACCAGACAGAGTGACAGACAAGTGTACGAGGACATTATCTACAGACGGGTTCTATTCCAACAAACACTCATGATAGATAGGGAAAAGGTAAGTGTGGTTCGTCTTGTGAGTTCCCTCTGCAAGGTCTGGATCACGCTTGTCTTGTATGTGATGTGACGACATCCAGGCCTCAATTTCACAAACAAAAAGTGAAAGGTAAATCAGTTCGTTTCCCTATCTAACTTATTTGTTTCCAACATTACCTGAACACATTCAAACATGTTACTCTATCAGGAATGGTGTTACCGCACTCAACTAAGCCAGGCAACTGAATTGTTAATCTTATATATTTTATTTATTTATTTATTTATTTATTTATTGTGTGTGTGTGTGTGTGTGTGTGTGTGTGTGTGAAACTTGGGCCTGACTGGCCACATCAGTGGACGATGACCAAGTCATTGGCCCAGGCTTTTTTCCAGCTATCCGTACCCCTCAACCCTACTCCCCGTACGTTTTTATACGCCATTCGTTTCCCCTTGACGGAGCGAACCTTTGTTGCTTTGTCTCAGTAATGTGAATGTGACCCTGCCTTGTGCGTAAACTCTCAGCCTGTAAACATTACCAGACACTTACCATGTTAACATATTCGACTGAAGTAAATATTGACTGTGTATTTAATGATATCTATTAGATTAAACTGGTGCAAAGAGTCAAGGTTTATTGCATTTCATTAAATACTTCAAATAGATAAGGTGTGCATTTCCTTCACCGTTAAGCATTTTACTTAAGTGCAAGTTTTTCTTACTATCAGACAATCCGGCCAAAAAGTGGCAAGGTTGGGTTCCTCTTGAACACACTCGTTTTACCTACAATTAATCACCTTTATGAATTTATTAAATGTGTGAAACATTAAAGCTTTGCGTTGCGTTATTATCGAGTTACAGCCCCATGCATATGTCACCCGCAGCTGTGTGAGTGATGTATTTTCCACTAAGTTAAATACATTACTTCGACCTTTACCTTATTAGAAAGATTGACAAATAGTCTTTTTGATTTTAAGAAGAGTGGGATACGTTCGCAAATAACTATATAAATAAAAAGATAAATGAATAAATAATATATCGATAAAATTGCAATCCAGTGGTTTGAAATTGCACATAAAGTGTTAGTGAGTACTGCAATATCAATGTAATACTTTTTGTTTCAATGAGTCCAAGTTAGAAGAATTCTCTGCGTTTTAAGGCTGCTTCACAAGGGAACAAGGGATAAAATCCTTCATTTGACTGGTGGATATTTAGACATTATATCCATCGTTTGATCTGCTCAATTAAAATATGATTCAGTTGGGCAGAGTGTTCAGAAATTTTGTAAAAGCAAGTTTTGCACAGATCTCTTCGTTTATCTAAATCAAGCACATTGGGCATAGTCAGAGCTTCAGCATAATGCAATGAAGAAAAAAACTGTCCTCAATGCAAGCCTTTGGACAGACTCTAAATAAATAAAAGTCATAAAGAAATGCAATAATAAGATCAAATATGGCAACAGATTATCTCCCCCTCCCCCTCTTAAGTCAGAGTCCACTATATAGCTGTATAGTGTTTCTTTCCGTGCCGATGCAGGAGCTCGAAGGCCGTCAAGCAGACCAGTCCACAGGTTATTATTCCCATAACGGTGTAGATCATGGCGTTAAGACAAATGAAGTTGGTGATGGCGAAGAGAAGAGCAGTAAGGGCATACATGGAGCTGCGCTGGATTAAGAACGCTGGCCACTTCTCGTCCGGGAATAACTTTCCAATGTAAGCTGGAAAAATGGACATTTATAATTCGTTATAAAAACAAATAGGCGATGTTTGGAAAGGTAAAGATAAATGCGAAAATTTTATTTTGACAAAAAAAATGTACAGTTTTTTCTGCTAGAAAAGAGGTTGAAAATCTATTTAAAAACGATATTTTATACCTCTATTTTTTTGTTTTTTTTTTCTTTTCTGTTTAGAACACTGTTTGTTTCTGGACATCATCCCAAAATAAGGTAATATTTTAAGGTATGGTAATTTGGGTTTTGTTTCATGAAACTTTCTTTTAAAAATACACAACTACATGTTCTGCTTTGTGTCATGGACAATCAAAGTCAGTATTTCGGTGTCTTGTCTTACATCGCGTGGCACCGATCTTCAATTAACAAAAGATCTTCACGCGCCAAACCGAAAAAACCGGAAACGACGCTGAAAATATTTAAGGGAGATATAGGGATACATAGGCCCTGTGTGGAAAAAAATCTTCAAAACAAGAAGTGAAAGAAAACCAATCGTTTTGTTCTCCTGCTTGTTGTACTTATTTAATCGACTCACCTGTTATCTGCACAGCCCAGATAGAATCCGCCAGTCCCCAGAAAAATGGCACCAGAAAGAAAAACTCCACCGTTTCCCTCGAAAAGTGGAAAAACAGCATACTGAATAGGCAGACAAAGTCTGTAGCGGCAGCTACGAGGAAAAGGAACGCCATGCCGACGTATTTCACTAATCGCCCATTGACGACAGAACCAAAGAAATCACCCATGGCGAAACAGATGATGGACCAACCATTGTATTCTATGCCCAGTTCACAGCTAACAAAAGCCTGGAAAATGAAAGTGGTTGGTGGATTTAATTTTTGGTGGTTGGTGTATTTTTGCACGATGAGAATAAACATGTCAGCTTATGTATGAAATCAATTACTGTCTTAATATGAAGTGATCTGTTAAAGAAGTACAAGAAATGTGTTGAAAGTAAAGGCGTGCTTATATAACGAATGCATTTACTTATTTTTTTATAGAACATTTTCCTTGTAGCATTCTATTCACCTTAGGAAAAAAGTGTCAGGGCAATCAAAAATAAGCAGTTGTCGGTGCATATAAATTAGAAAAAATATTATGCAAACAACAGCAAATCATAGTATTTTTTTTAACTGTTAGTGATTTGTTACCTTAGTGAATTCTGAATGGATAAAATACTGGCTGATGCTGAATAGGAAAATACCAGGAAGAAGAAGGAGCATCTTCTTGTACCACAGTAGACCGATGATCTTGGCGCCAAATTCCTTAACGCTTTGGACAGCGTCTCCACTCTTAGCCGCAGCATTCTCCAGGAACGCCCCTGTTGTAAATAAAGCCAGTGCCGACATCCCGATGAAGGACCCCAATAGTATATACACTGTGATCTGGTCTGGTTGCCGTATGTAGGTCCCGCTGGTGTCTTCAAAGTGGCAGAAATTAGGTCCACACAAACTGGACAGGTTTTTAGAGTTTGGAGTGGTGGAATTGCCATCGAACTCGATCGGTTTGACCAAAACTAGAGAAGAAACCAGGTTTCCCCAGACGCCGCTGAGAAGGTATACGGTGAAGAAAACGCCCTGAAAAAGACCCAAGGCGTGATGGGGTGTGTCGTGGGTTATATCGGCATAGTCCATGGCCAGGTGTGTCACATACACGCCAGTTGATATCGTGGATTGGCAGTGGGCTGAAAAAAATACACCTTATTTTCAGATATCATTATTGCCTATTATGTAATTTTTATATGAATACTGTTTATTGCAATTCATTTTTTCATTTTTTTTTTAATTTCTGTAATACCGCATTTGTTTGAGAGAGAGAGAGGCAAAAGGAAAAATACCATTGAATACATAAAAATTAAAACACATAAAAAAGGGCAGACAGACGCGAATAAATATAAATAAAAAGGGAAAAGGGAAACAAAATACCTATTTAAATACACAGCAAAAGTTAAACCTACCAGTGCCGAAGAGG